CGTACATCTGGATTAATCAGTCTAATATATTTCGCACAACCGATCAAATGAAACGTTACAACGCGTATTAACTTATTACAACTTGTGTTGCACGTTTTAACACGGTGCAAGATTAAGTTAGCAAATGTAAATCCGAATGTTAACGTGCCGTTAAATCGCAATAACGTTCGAGTTACATTTTCTCTAGATAAAAGGAATCGTCTGGTCTGGAAATAAAAAAAGAAAAAGAAAAAGAATCAGCCTTCCAATTATAATAAACATCATGCATGTCGGATTAAAGGTTTTACAATCGAGTTAGAGCATTTCTTCTTCGCGCCACGACTTCATTCTCTCGCTGATAAATTCCTATATAACGAAGCTAACCTTGTCCGCGTATAATAAATATGAATATGAGTATCGTACTCTTTCAATTTCCTATCGTTCACGCTCGATCTTTAATCTACCATGGAATAGGTGGATCTCTGTTCGTCTCTACATTCCTCACAATCGAACGAACCATTGCACTTTTCCTTGGAACACTTTGCTTCCGATTCCTCCAATTTTTCTCCTCGACGGAGAACAACAGCAAATCTCGTAAAAATTGCCAATTGCTCGCCCTTTACTTTTCAACGTTTATCAAAGAGAGTTGAAACACGTAGCTATTCGGATAATTTTTTATAACGCGAGAAACGAGGAAAATTACGAGAGGAAATAATTTTCCATCGAAATCAAGCACAGAGGCAATATTCGATTAAAAATATGATTACACGGAGGTAAACGTTAACGAGGAATGGATGTAAGCCGCGGTATCGATAGAAATTTCCTTTACGTGGAAGAATTTCGAGGGAGGGAGGGGAGAGGAGAATGGAGAACGAGTTTCGAAGAATGGATGAAACTTCGCGAAAGATGAAATCGCGCGATGAAATCCACGCCACGTACACGGCGCAACATCCATCCTCGTTTAACACTCGGCCGAAATCAATTACAATTATTCCCCTTGCAGCCGAGATTTACCGTGCGTCCAGCCTTCGAAGCGACGGGCGAAGAGGTTGCGGCGTAAAGAATTTTTATGTCCCGAAAAAAGACAGAATCGGCTTCGGCCGATGTCGTGTCCGGACGCGCGAGGGCACACCAACTTCGATGAAATATGCTCGATTTTGTAAAAATTCCCCAACACAAAAAATTCGCGAACGGGTAACGAGACGTTTTCAGATTTGCATTTTCGAGTAATTACAAGGAATATTTACGATCGTGGTTGTAAATTGTGAAGTTGAAAAATAAATTTGGGGGAAGATGGAAAGAATGAACAAGAATGCGCGCTCGAAGTTGAATACGATTGTTGGTTCATCGTGAAGGAAGAATCGTCGAAAAAGACGAAATGGAAAAATTTGGAAATTTTTTTAAAGTAAGTAAATAAAATATTATTATTTCCTCTAGTAATCATTTTTTTGTTTGTTCAAATATTTTCACTTATTCGCATACAAATATGGATAATATGATATTGTATTAATTTCTAAGATTGATTTACAAATCGATTATATTTGTTCAAAGATCAAAGCGAGTAAACTATTAAATTCTGGGAAATCGTAATTCTAGAAAGACTAAAATATATTATATATAATATATTTTTACGAAAACTTGTGTGCGTCGAAGGGTTAAATTCATATTCCAGGAAAGTTTCGGCAATCAAAAGTTGTTCACTTCTCCCTCTTCTCTCCGATCTTTCCTCTCCTCTTAAAAGAAAAATTTGTATTTTTTAAACGCGCTCGTGAATCTATCGATTTCAGGTGGTCTCGAATAAATAACTTTTTTAAATATTCCGTGCTTATTTATTTTTTTTTTATCGATATCGTTACTCGCCTTCCACGTATTTACAACCGGGGATATTAATTAGAAAGCTATCGAAAGAATTTATTCGTAAAAAGCTTGCAGGCGGCGGTATCGTTATGTACACACACCTCGAGATAAACTAACTTAAATCCGAGGAGAGGGAAGATACTTCTCGTTATTAATCTTCCCGCTAGCGTTGCAGCAACGGATGAACTTTTACGGCACGAAGTAAAAAATATAGGGGAACAAGATCCTTATTCGCACGCACGCGGCACACCCGTGTGGGCGAGGAAGAAGAGAGCTTTCGCGAAGAGTATGAGGAAGTCGAAGTCATTGACTTCGAGGAACGAACGATGGACGTTACGCGTTGCAACATTTTTTTAGTTTTCGATTTCAAATTGATCGGTTGTCGAAGAAAGATAAGTTATCGTCACGGACGGTGAGTAAGAGAGCGAAGACACGCGAGATTTATTATCGAGTTGCGTATTTTTCTTTTTCTAATCTTAAAATTTGCTACGCTACGAAAATATTCTCCTTCCTTCCTTTCTTCTTTTCTAATTTGCACGGCGAGTCGAATTTTGAAGAATGTTCAAGTTTTCATTTTTGATTTCGAAAGGTGGCGTGCAATCGCAAAAGTCGAAAACCGGCGTCGAAAAACGCATCGCTCGTTGTGGAAATGAGATATCGAAAACCGTTGAGATTGCACTTAACGGTTAATCCCATACCGCTTTAACCATTGGTCGTGATCCTCCCTAAGTGTAACTGCGGTTTGCACGCGAATCGATCGCATGCAACACGAAATTAAATAAACGCGCGTCGTTCCTTTTCGAAATGGAAGGAACTGGAAGGAATCTCGTTGAACAAAATACGCGAAACTCGAACATGTTTGTAAGCTCGACGAGCATTATGATATTAAACGGGGCGTGTTAAAGCGTTTTAAGAAAAAGACGAACGATACTTTTCAATTACAATATTACCAGGGTAAAATATAAAATATTAAATTTCAGATCAAAATCTCCAAAGAAAAAAAAGAATCCATAAACGTCTAATTTATTTACATACCATCTTCTCCGATATATCGCGTGGGACGACTATTTCTATTCTATACTTTCAAAAAAAGAAAAAAAAACGTAAGGCCCTCTATGAAAATTCTTACACGAGAAATATTACACGATCAATTTGATCGAGATATGCAATAAACGTTCGATCCCGGAGGTTCGTTTCGAATTACAGATAACGCGATAAGACGGGAAGGGAAAAGAAGAGCCATTTCTACGAGACGTTTAACTTGGCCAATTACGCGAAATCCCGAAATTTATTCGCTCCGTTTAATCTCCTCGCATGGCGGGAAAAAAAAAAAAAAAGAAAAAGAAAAAAAGAAAAGAAAAAACGAGGAGAAAGATTTGAAAGAAAGGAGAGCTCTCCGGTGGCGGCGATGTACCGATCCATTGAATTTCCAGACGGTGGTGGAGCACGCACGCGTGTGTGCACGCTTGTTTCGTATAAATGCGCAAACTTAAGCGTAAATGCACGAGCATGTGCACGAGGCGTGCATGTACTCTCGATCGTTCCGCTCGGCCCATTCGAAGGAAGAAGAAAGGGCGATGGATGGGAAGGCGAGGAAGAGGGAATCGTACATGAAAATTACATACTCGGTGGGACCTGCACTTAAAAGGCCTCGAACGTATAACCGTGGCCAACTAAAAAGCTTGGTACACGTCAATGCCAGATTCGTGATATTTCGTAACCCCGAGCCCAGTCAAGTAGTCTCGCGACCGTTCCTTTTTAATTGCGAGTCGCGGACGAAAATTGTACCGGCGCCGGTTCCATGCCTATGCGGGAACCTCGATCGAGCTCGCATTACCCCGCATATCGAGTCTTTGTTTCAAATTTCTAAAGAGAGGGAGGGGAGGGGAGGGAAGGTGAAAAGTGCTCCGCTCGTGGGAAATTTATTTCCGTTGGATTTATTATGTTTGTTAAGAGAGAGTTAATATTTTTTTAAATAATATTCGTATCGGCGATATTTGAAAATATTTGAATCAACGATATCGTCGCTGAAACTTCGTAGTTTTTGTTTTAAGTTTGTAAGCAATAGAAAAGAGACAAGTTGAAAAGTGTTCCTATTCTTACGAAATTAATTTCTGTTGAATCGATTCCTTAAATTTTGATTATCAAAGAGTAAAATAATATTTGAAGATTTAGAACCATATCGAGTCTTTGTTTGAAATTTGTGAAGAGGAGAAAGTTGAAAAGCCCTCCTATTCTTATGAAAATAATTTCTGTTGAATCGATTCTTAAAATTTTGATTATCAGAGAGTAAAATAACGATTTCGAAAATCGTATTAAAATCGTATCTTTGTTTCGAATTTGTGAAAAGAAGAGGTTGAAAATATTCTTGATAGGAGTAGAATTATAAAACGAAGATAAAAAGTAAAAGTGAAATAGTAAAGAGTGTTACCTTAGCTGTGACGAATCTCTTCGAGAACGGTTCTGCCATAATAGGTAGACATCACTTCCCATCTGGTTACCAGTGTTTCCGGTATGTTTCACAAAAACGCTGGTCACGTTAATCGCAAAGAGAACGCACGTTTGACAACTTTTTCTTTACGCATTGCACAACACTGTATCACTTAATCGTCGTTCGAAGCTTCGTACACTTTTTCTTAAGCGATGTTTAAAATTACTCGCACAGATTCACCGCGGCTCTTTATTCCACGCGCCACTTTGCACACACATTTTTATCATCAATCCACTTTTCGAATTAATATTCACGAGATCTGTAATGCGATTGATCCCGATCATTATCCCCGACGATTGAAAATATACGTGTAAATTATACAAGTTGAAAAATGAAGTGTGAATATAATGATACGCCAAAATGATCGAGGCACGTTTCTAGCCTAAGGCAGTATGGAGAATGCTCACGTATACCGAGATATTTTGCACGCTAGGCAATCAATGGTAAACTGAACTTTCGACAACAAGCTTGAAAAGAGACAAGCGTGAAAGAGACGTTGGTTATAACTAGTCGTCCAATCTGTTTACAATCTCGTACAATATCATAACAATTAACAGAGGTTAGAGAATTTGAAATCAATGCGTAAAATTTAATATTTTGATAAATAAAAGTAAGATGAAAACATTGCGTGAAATTGTACGTAGAATTGAAGAGTATTATATTTCTTGGTATACAATTGTATACGGTTATTCGAAACGAAATTTATATTCCTATCTTTTCCTTTTCAAATATTACAAAATTACTTTTGGAGAGGGAACGGTTTTCAAGAACGAAGAATGCCTTCGAACCGGTCAAATTATTCAATTTTCAAGGCCGCTCTTCCTCCGTGCCTGTCCAAATTTAAAAATCAATCAGAATCGCTGCATTTCAGATCAATTTTTTATTTAACTTGAATTTATACGAAAACACAAGTTTAGATTCCTTAAACTGATTATTAAAGATAATCGATGATTCAATTAACAAAAAAATATTCCTTCGAATAATAAATTTCAACATATGTTTCACATTTCCAACAAGTTTCGCCATACTTTTGTTACAAAAACTTTAAACTCGCATAAAATTCTAATTCGCTCTCGTATTATTAAATTTAATACGGAAATAATTCATAACAAATTTATCCTTTTGAAACGATAAATAATTGATCGATCACGATGGACGATACCAGCAGCCCATGGAACGGAAACGAGGTTTCACCTACGCATCCAACCTAACAATTTCACTTTCTCGGGGAAAACGGCGAGTTGAACTTTTAACATTATAGATGTACCTATCAATCATGCGAGCAATTAACGAACGTCGGCAAGAATGGTCGGCAAGCACCGTTTAACGATGGACACGTTTTACGTAACTTTAACAAACTCGTTAACAAGGGACGATAAATGAAATTCTACGGCGTACCTACGGCGTTTATGCAAATCGAAGACCGCCGATTCTCTCACGCTAATACGACCGACCCGTGGCAACCCGACGTGTGATTGATCGAGGGAAGAAATCTGCATCGAAACTGCCCTACCTGTACACGCCCAAAGGATTCCTTCAAAATTCTCAAAACGTTGGCGTGGCCCCACTACGACGTTGAGCACTTCGCGAAAGATCTGGATTGATTGATGCGGCGTTGTCACGATACCCGAAAAAAACGAGGAGGGCAAGATTCGAGATCGGAATCTGCAGCCTGGTCGAAATTCCACGATTAATTGATAATAAAGAGAAACGGAAGATTCGAATCAGCGGCTAATCGTTAAAAATCGGGAAATGACCTCGAAACCTTAAACCTTACGCTCGATTAATTTCACAAAATCGTGACAGGAAGGATTGATGCGCCACTTTTCACAACACTAAAAATTCACGATTTCCGCAAAAAAAAAAAGCGCCCGCACTAACACTCACTCGAACACATAAAAGAATCCTTAACCGAACGGAGAGGTAAATCGTCGAGGTAAACCAATAATACACAAAAAAAAAATGGAACAAAATTTCTGGTGGAGAAATGCGTCGAAGGAGGAAGAAGAGGAAAGTCGGTCGGGCGGATTAGACCGGGCGATTAATCGCGGCGAGTGATCGCGGCAAGAAAAGCGAGAGATTCGATGATGACAATTTCCATCAAGCCGACACCAGGACGGCGGGGGGAAGATCGTAAGAAGCGGAGGCAGCGCGTCGTACACGGCGTACACTAGCGGATCAACTCGCAAAACATTGTCAAGCCGGGAACAAACGAGGTGGGCAGAAAAACTTGCAGCACAGGTATCGAACCGCAATGAATCCGCAATGGTGAGCGTGGAGTGTGGGTCCTGGGCCGGTCGCGAGGCGAAGGCTGGTGGCGCGGGGGGCCACGGAAGGCACGAGCCGAGCCTCGCAGCCCGGGAACATCCTCCGCTCCGGTGAGGATCCTTCCTCCTCCCCTCGTGGCCGGTGTCCGGGTTATCGGCTACGTAGATCCGACAGACGAAAGGTCGAGAGCGGTTAGACGTAACCCGGTAAATCACGTGGTGGCCGAACGAGGAGGTCGGCGAGGAAGGGAGAGAGAGGGAGAGGGGGGGCAGGGGGAGGGAGGGAGAAGGGTTGGGGGAGGGAGAGGCGAGGTCGGTGGCGCGGGGAGTATGGCTCGCGGACGGAGGCGCGCGACGAGCGACGACTGGGGCCCGCAGGTCCCCGGTAAGAGGTCCCATTACTGCGGGGCCTGATGATACGGTGGACGGCAATCGCTAATGGCCAATGGCACGGATAAGAGAGGAAAGCGGAGAGCTGGAGAGGCGAGAGAGGTTAGGAAGATGGAGCGGTGGATGGAGAGAGACGGGTCGACTGGGAGGAAGGCGGAGGAAGGAAACGAAGGAGAGGAGAGAGAAGAGAATGGGGAGAAGCAGGCCTGGAGATGGAGAGGAGGAGGTGGAGGTGAGTTCGGCAAAGGCCGGTCGGGCACCTGGGCGACACACTACCTCCTCACCTCTCTGCTCCGACTCGCATGCTGCGCCTGTGAGTATGCCCCTGACGTAGTTCCTTTCGTTTGTGCGTCGCCCCTCATGCTCGGATCGAGGGCTTCCTGAATTGAGGAGGTGCCCTCGCCTCCGTCATCGTCATTTAAGCGATTGCGTTCTTTTCTTTTCTTTTTTTTTTTTTTCCTTTTTCGAATTCGAGTTTCTTTGGAACTTGAAAAGAAGGAATTTGTCGAAAACTCGTCGAAAGTTATCTCGAATTTTTGCTTCGAGGAATCTTTGTTAAACATTTACCGATAATCGCGTTTAAATGATAAAAAATTTGACCTGTTTTCTATCTATCGTTCGACGTATTTTGTATTCAACTTTTCAATATGATACGTGGCTCTATTTATTATGAAGTTATATTATAAAGATGAATTCGCAAGACAAAATGGATGATCGTGTACGACGTGATGTATGAATATGACGTTGAAAAAAACGAGATAATGAAGATAAACGAGTATTGATCGTACACGAGTTCTCGTTCTTTTGCGTTAAGAAGCTTAATATTAGGTGTTTTTAATCTCATCGTTGTATTAATATTAATCGTTGTTACACGTTGTCACGTGAATAATATTAGCGTTTGTCAAAAGTGAATGGTCCAATGGTAATTGAGATTTCAAAGAGAACGATTTAAAATCTTAGAAAATGGAATTGACAAAAGTTTCTTGACAAAACTGTTTGATATCGTTATAACCTAATAAAATCTTTATCAGTTTAATATCTGTCCTGGGCGAGAAAGATATTAAGGAACCCTGAAATTTTCACTCTCGCGAACTCGTGTAATCCTAACCAAACCTGGTACCAAACCGCAAGTATCTTATACCAATTTATACCACGCGTACGAAACGAAATTAGCAGATTATACTTACGATATTTCTGCGCAAGATAAACACAACTAAACGCGCATTCCATCGATATCTTTTTGGATACTTAACGCGCCGATAAGATTGACGACTTAATCTCTTGTAACGAAATAAAAAAGTGTAGCGAGAAGAGAGAGTATAAATAAAATATTTTCACGATAAATAATTTTGCGAGTAGATGCACTATCTCGGACAAACATTGAGTTTCCTGTCTTCTTTTCCTATTTTTATTCTTACATCTGTATTGCAAGGGAAGAAAAAATAAATTATTTATTATTCAAAATAATCTTTTTTTCTGCCATTTCGGGCTTATGTTCTTTCAACGTCAGAAAACTATTGAAAATCAAAGAAAAATTTAAAAGCTAAAAAAGGAAAAAAAAAGTGACGATTATTTGACCATTCCTAATACGATCTTTCGTCGATCTTTGCTCTTCATCCCCATCATCGTGGGTCAAGCTCGTTCGATTCACGTCGACCATTAAACATAACGAGCCGAGAAGCATCACGGACGATTATCTTCGTAAGGGAGCATGCTAATGTGTCGACGATAACCACCGTGCATTCTCGTGTCCTTCATCGCTTAAACGTTGTACACGTTTATCGCGACGTCCATGAAGTTTGGAGCCGGAGAACTATGTCCAAAATGTCCTTCGGCCATTCTCTTCCATCCTCTTCTCTTCCTTTTTTCTTCTTTTCTTTTTTTTTTTTTTCCTTATTTCTTTGCCTCCATTCCACGATTCAGCTACCCTTCGGTAGTCGGGAGAGTAGTGAATCGATTAATAATATCCAACCCAGGGGCTAATTCGAATTAATTAAAAATAATAGGGCGTTTCTTTCATCGTTCCCCTATTTTCCATAAAATTTTCCATCGTGAGCGAAACATACGAAAAATCTATGGCTTTTTTCTTTTTCTCGACACGCGAGTACCAATTATTAGGCTTCCGTTTTTTACACTACTTGTAAAGTGCTTATACATGTACCCTGTAATTTGAAAGAATAGCTCCGAGAAACAGTTACTTGATGAGAATACCTTCGAACGTTGCACGTGGTTATTTTAGGTGTAAAATATATGCTTATTATTCACTGCTCGCTGACCCACTATCGTTTCTTATTAATTATTGATTATTGGGTATCATTGAACGTCCCGAATTCCAAGCTTTCGTGGAAAAATCGCAGAAAACGAGAAATAAAAAGAAAAAGAAACGCGAAATTTCTTCTTCGTGCAGAGGTTTTATTTCGAATAACAAAATTACTACCGTTCCTTTCTATTCCAATTATAAAACCCACTTCTTGATTTGGATTTCACGCGTAATTTTTTCTCCCTACGTCGCAATAATACCAAATATTTCGACGAGAAATCTAAATTTAACGTGGTATTTTCCCTTCCGATCCGTCAAATTCTATCCAAAATAATATTCACTTCTGGCATAAATCAACGATCCAAAAAGCAAGTCGATTCGACAAAAGTAAAAAAAAAAAAAGAAATAAATAAAAATAAATCGTAAAAATAATCTCGTAAATAATTCACCTCGGACGAGGTTAAATCGATCGATTGGAGAGGTCGATGTGGATTAAAGTTTCGAAATGCGAAACGGGCACGTATGTGCACAACTGGAATGGTGAATCCGCCCCTGGCGCCATGGTGTGTGCCCAGAGAGATGTGGCATGGTGTGTGGTTGTTGGTTGCCGGCCGATGCCCAGTCTCCAGTCTGGCTGCAGCTGCGAACCGGTTATATACTTTCATCTGGCAGTCTTAGCACGGTCCCTAAAAGAGAATCCGATGACTATAGCCAGGAGAGCGCATACATACACCGATGGAGAGAGAGAAGAGGAAGAAAAGAGAGAGAGAGAGAGAGAGAGAGAGGAGAAAGGGAAACGAGAGGGAGGTTAATACCTGTACCGAAGGCACGCTTATGCATTGGAAGAAAGGGCGTCGTTTTTTTCATCCGGACCAGCAGCTACTCCTTCTGGTGTACCAACGAGCTCTTTTTGGTAACGTTCATCTTTCACTTTTTGTTTAGCTTGTACACACACGCGTGCGCGCGCACCACTATATATACGCGAATCTTGTACAAAAGCTCGCGAAACTGGATAAATGGGAAATATGAGAAACGAATTATATGGCATAAGGACGACTAATTGGAGGTGTTTTCGTTGGAACGAGATCCAACGATATCGTTGAAGGGATGCGTTTACGTCCGATCGATGAATCCATGCCTCGAGTTTCAGAGAAAGTTGTCGATAAGATTGCAGCACCTTTTGTATCCCAAAGTTTTGTTTTCGAAGGGAGATTCTTTTTTCTTTTTTTTTGGTTCGTGTATAATTGTCATACAAATAATTCATATAATTTCGTTTATCATTCTTTTTAATCTTCTTTTCCACAGAATCGTCCAAGATCTTCTCGCTAGAAGGATCGTCACTCGATGACATTCGAGGCAGTGGGACGTACGCGTACACATGGCAGGTTAAGTACATTTCGCCGTGATAAATTATCAAACTGTATTGCGTAATGAGAAGTGGCGTGGGTATTGAATTCATTCAATTCCATTTCAATGAAATCCTAGACAGGGTAAAGAAAGATCTTTAAAGATCTTCTTTTTTTTTTTCTTTTCTTCTTCTTCTTCTTCTTCTTCTTCTTCGGGTCATCCTTGACATCTCATTCATATTCCGCCCACGGGTACGAGTTTCTTCTCTAGGTGAATATCATTGAATTTCTCGGATACTTTCTTACGCTTCGCATTCCATATAAGAGTTACCAAGGTCTTCGAGTCTTGGATTTCACGATTGCGAGGATCACGTTCCACTACCAGTGGATAATAGCAAAAAAATCGTATAATAGAAAGGAAGATTCTTCGATACGGATGCATATGGAATTGGCGCTTTGGCGTTGTGTAAGCGTGTCGTCGATGCTTAATGATCCGGTATCCAATGAAAATTGTGCGTTGTTCGGGATGCTTGTTCGAGAGATACAAGTCACTTCGGGCGGATATGTGTGTCATGATTCTTTCGAATGGAATTTTTTCCTGTCGTATCGAGACGAGAGTATATAATATGAGATGTCTCTCATTTCTTTTCGCGGAAATATTCTTTCTAACGATCTATTATTTTATTCGATCGCTATTTTCTTTTCTTCCTCACTTTTTTCTTAATGCGATTTAAGAGTATATATATATATAAACAAAGAGAAATATTCAACGTTAAATTACATTTAAAATTATTCTCTATGAAATAGGTAAACAATTTTTTTTCTTTTACGGCCATCACCGACAGCTAATTTCAGCTTTTCAGGCATAATCACGTTCGATAATATTTGCTGGCACAACGCCAACACGGCAGATATGTAGCTTCGTTAGAACCAAATGATGTATTGAACGATATAAATTGTTATTCGAAGAGTCAACACTATATTCGAAATTGACATTGTTGTACATCTATTAGTTGACGTTTAGTTACGCAAGAATACGTCTGATGTATTTTTACTTCTTTCTTTTTCCTTTTGTTTTTTTTTTCTTCTTCTTTTTCTTTTTTTTTTTTTTGTTTTACAGGATTTGGTTTTCAACGATTGACAACTAATACTATCGACACTGGTATTCAGAATTGGAAAATCATCGTGTAAGTAAGAAATTAACAGGATATCGCTATTTCTAACTTACGATAAAATTATTTTCACCAGGTAGAAATTTGAAGAGATCACAAGGAAGATCGAGTTGGGACCGAGTTGTGTTGTATTGTACAAATCATGCCGGCTTATATTTCGGTAATCACATCACCCGGACTACGCGTAGTACACGTTTAAAAAAAAAAAAAAGTCAGCTTTGAAATTCAATACGCGTATGATATAATCTACACGGAACAGGAAATTTAACTGTTGTCCGTGTTTGTAATTCACGTATTTCTCCTCGGCGACCGTACGTGCCAAGATATTTAATTCGTAATACGTTTCATTTATATAAAATGTCGATGTACTGTTACATCATCGATATTACGTTTAAAAGAAAAAGAAGAAATCAATTAATTTCTCGTTAAAAATTCATAATGGATATTTAAAGTATATAATGTTGAAATATATCTATAAAGAATATTCGTTGTTAAAAAATTTGTAATATATTGCTATTACTGAAGAGTATTCGTTGTTGAAAAAATTTTTTCAATACACATACGAAATTAATCCTTCTCTCTCTACGCTGGAAGAAGAATCGCGTTTGGCGCAAACTTCATAGAGTTAGTTCATCGAGAAGAAAAGTGGTGGAAAGTGACGTGAAATCGGGTAGCCGCCGCGCTATGTGAATTCAAGCTTTCAAGATGAATACGCGTACACGCGATACACACAGCGTAGGATCCATTGTGAACAGGGTGCACAAATAAAAATCACGTAGGTACAGTTACTTCATCCTGGTGTGCATAAAGGAGTACGAAAGGTCAGTCCTCTTGGAATTCACGGTGTACACGTATGCACGCTTTTCGACCGAACGAGGAGGAAACTCTTACAGTAACATCACGTAACGTTCTTGAACAAGTCCTAGGGAGAAGAAAGACCTGTCCTCCTTTTAAAATAAAATCTGCTCGCTATCTTGGAGCCTACGTAGTGCGGGTAGGTGCGTGTGAAGTCCGATCCTCTGAGTCAGCGAACAGAGTACGATGCATTAACGAGCAATTGAATTACCACAAGAGATATTTTCGTTTTATTTTCCGATATTATAGTTTCGAAAAAAAAAAGGGGGGGGAGAAGATATTTCTCTTGTACTTGTATTTTATATCTTATTTTGACAGGTGGGTAAGTATATCGAGCAGAGTGGTTATACACCGTTTATAGAAATAGAAGGTTTAGTTAACGTCTGATCGAACGAACCTCGAAACAATTTCAGAATTTACATGTTTGAATTATTGTTCAATGCATTTTAACGAGAAGTGAAGAATAATTATAATATATTTTTTTTATTCTTCTAGTAAGTAGAAGATATAATCTCTTTTAGAAGAAGAAGAAACAAAATTTAAGATTTGTTTAGAATCAATACCGTATATGAATGAAATATTAAAATTTTAATTATAATTGAGTTAATTAAACTTGATAACATTTAAATTAAAATATGTATCGTTTATTTTCAACCAACGTTCGACGAGCGAACGAATACAGTGCGCGACATCTAAACGCGATTGAAGAAGTAGCATTAGTTTGGTTCAATGAACTTACTGGTAAGTATGTTTCGTACCTGGTTTCGGTATCTCGATGCGAGATAATGCATCGATAACATCTGGAATTGATAAGATCGTGCGCATACGTATGGCCACGTCGTGAATGAGGTGCATAAATTTTCTTGGACCGTTGTTTCGTTAAATGGAATGGAGGAGAAAGGAACGTCGGTAGGTTATCTTGTTCGTCGATAACATCTGCACACGATAAAACAGGAAAATTCATAATTTAAAAAGGGCTAAAGTGATGCCTTTTAGAGAAAACGTGTCGAACATCTTTTTTTTCATCTTTTGAAATTTTCGATTTAAAGAAAAACAATTTTGATCAACGCTGTTCAATCACGAACAAATAACACATTTCCTTAAAGTATTATTTAAAAAGAACGTTCCTTCCAATATTTTATAAAAAAATAATTAGAATTATAACGATATTAGATTTTTATGTTTAATAAGAGTTAATTTTTAAAAAAAAAAAAATCCTGAAATAAGATCATTGTTAACTACTAACGCGTAGTTAGTACGATTTTTTCAAATTTCCATTTTTGTTCTTCCCAGTAGTGTGGAATAGACGTGGATGTCGAAACACGAATGATCAGACGACACAAAGAGGGGAAATCCGTCGGTGCATGGCTCGGGGAGCACGATGGGCTGAATTTAACTTCGAACAACCGTACGTTTTGTGATATTCTGTGTACGGTCAGTGCTCACGCCGCAGAACGAAACACCAGCCACCGATCCTCTGCACGCTTCTGTCTCGATTCCGCCTTCAGTTCGCCGTCGTGAGTCCACCTGAACAGGTGACCGATCCTTCGATAAACAGTCATCATTTCTATCCTCCTTCTATCCATCTCTATGATATTTCTTCCGACCGTTTCCAAGAGATTATCCACGCAAACACGGTTCATTTGCTACGATCGTCGAAGAAAATCGATTTCTTCGTTTTCATTTCAAAAGTAGGTAGACAACAGGATCAATTTTTAAATTTTAACTGTACATAATAAAAAAATTGATCGAATCTATATTGAATATATATTTTGAATTAAAAATCGAAATGTGTGTAAATATTAAATTTATTTAGAGGATATGATGTTTCTCGAGTGAGATTTACACGATTAGTTGCAAAGGTAGCACCTGTAAACAGAGCCGGTGAGGGTGATCGACTACCGTGGGTAAATGGAGTTTATTGCCGTAGGCGAGCGTTCAGTATACCGGCGAGAGCTCACCTGGCCAGGTGAACACGCTGCGCCTCTTCCACACGGTTTATCAGTAACATGCTGACAGACGGCGGTTACTGCGAAACGAGGCTGCTTAAGCAAAATCTCGCTTTACCCGAACTTGGCAAATTGTCCTCGATGAAATAAGCCATCGTGAACGTGGAGAGAGATCTTGGATAACGTTGGAAGAATTATTATTTCCACGAACGAGAGTGAAATAAATTGTGACTTTTAAAGTAAAGTGACATGTTACCAGTGAAAGTTTAGAAAGAACGTAGATACGATTTATTATCGTATATATGCGTGCGCGCGCGTGTGTTTACCGAGACAGTGATTGTTTTTGTCGAAACAAAAGAATCGAATCGGAATAAGAGATATTTATTTTAAAGAGTGCAAGAGTTAGTCGTTTCGTGCAATTCTCTATTGAAGTAAAGTTAGACAATTTTCAAGAATATGTGGCGAGGGAAGAACAATTTTACGATGGATATCGTAAGTATCGATCAAAATCTTAACGAGAAATTCGATATGCGTGTGTTCGTGCTGCGAAAACTTTCCACAACTCCTGATTGTCTTTTTTTTTTTTTTTTTTTTGGCAAGTTTGGCAGCACACAGTTTCAAAAGTATGACAGTTACAGATAGCGTGTCTATCACGGCGGGTGATACGCGCTTCTGTGAATTATGTTAGTGTATAATTCGATTCTCCGGTATGCAATTAGAACTGATTCTGTGAATTAGGCTTCGAAGTATGTTACACGAGTAGAGCAGCTACGTTACTTATCGTAAATAGTCATCCGTGAGAAAGAAAAATTCCTTTGTTTGCGTCGATTCGCTCGTCTGTAATAAAATTAAATTAAAAGATATAAGAAATATATAAGCACGTGGATATACAACAAGTTTTGAAATGGCGCGTAAATGAAATGTTAAAATTAATAATAAACGAATGTGAGGATTGTCAAAACAATTTTGCGTAACAATGTTTACGTTCCATTTTATTGTACCTCCCTTTCATAAATCTTTGTGTACATTCTATGACTAAGAAATCAATGCGAATGAAAATTAAAACCGACAATGGGGACGCCAATGCTGCAAAAAATTGAATACGATCACCATTGTCCTCAATTTTTCTCTCTCTCTACACATCAGTCATTAACAATTAACCACTAATATTTCGTGACGCAATCTCGAATGAGATATAAAGGACATCGACATAATCACTTTTCATCCACGTAACAAACAACATTACGAAATTCCCATTTCTCTTTTTCATTTATCCTGAACATTATTGGGGGCTCCTTGTAATTATTTCTACGAAGTTGTTTCTTATCCATTCACGTTCTCACGGAGTACAACATCTCGCTTTACGTAATCGCGTAAAGTCTTCGTCTTCCTTTTTTTTTTTAAGACGAATTTTAAAGGGGAACGTAAATTGGATCGTAGACGTTGGAAAGCAATAAAATGTGGAATAAAGAATATAATAATTTAACCGACGTATGATGACGCGAATTACGTATTTAATGCAACTCGCAGCCCAGCTTAGTGCAACAATGTGAGGCGCGATTTAACGAGATAGATTGTGTTTAATTATATGAATAATTGCTGCTCGTGGGAATATTATTCGTTATTAAGATTGTACAGTTATATTTCTTTGCAAGAAATTATGATAATACCGAGAAATTTTTATTAATTGGAGATTTATCCTGTTTTACGAGTTTTTAGAAACAATTGGCTATTAATCGTATTACAGGCTGTTATTTTTAAATTGCTATAAAAAGATTCGATTCCCTCTCGAAAAGAACAAAAATTATACATCTTCGCACCTCGATAATTATTTCCAAACTGCTTTATATATATATATCTCGACCAATTTCTCGTTTCTGAACGAAATATCTAACACTTTTGATCTTTTAACAAGATGTAGTAACTTGTTCAGCTTACAACCAGGGGATACTTACATAGTGAATAACTCGTTAGGAATATATGTAACTCGATAAGAAGCAGTAACCAATACTTGTCGTGTAACCGATACTTTCGAGTTCGATGCCACATCATTTTTCAGAAATTGCGTAATTATTACGCGTAGAAATTACAAATTCTCTTTTGCAAAGTCTTTCTTTACTCAAGAAATTTCTAAAAAAAAAAAAAAAACCTAATTCGATGTACAAAATTAATCCTTCCCAAACAAGTTCTTTCAAAAGCTTCGTGTAATTAACCAGAAGAAATAGAATTTAACGGTGGAAAAAATTGCTTACGTGCTATATATAAACACATTCCATTCTTCCGTACATAAATTTCATAGATCTTGCCAAGTCCAGGGATCTATCAAATTATTCCTATTCTAACTGTAAAAGCCGGACGTTAGAATGAAAATTTCTGAACTCGGTCCACGAATATACAATTATCATCGTAAGGATGGGATTTATCGTTGTTGGAAAAAGGTGAATCGCGGAAGGAAGGAAGGGAAGGATCGTGGAACTCGTGTATCGACGATGCGAGTCGACGGCCGTCACGCAACGATGCATCCAACGATGGGGGTGAGCCCCGATGGGGGGAGGAGACGGTGGTATGGGGTGTGCCAATACCACGTGCAGCGTTATCATTCGGAAGCATGCATGGCAGGTGTAGGAAATGACGTCACGCAATACCTCGGAGTATCCCTCGTTTGAAACACGACCTTACCGTCTATTTTCGACGACTGGACGACCACCGTGCATAAAAAGCTTCCTCCGAGTGGACAGCACAATGAGCGTTGTCCTTGCCATTCGGATTAACAATCCTGCCTGTTAATTGCGCCCATCTTTTGTTTCCTTTTGTACGAAGCTTTCCTCTTTTTAACGCTTGTTTTACGCTTCTTAATACATATTCATATATCGTTGAACCAAAAAAAATGAGGGGTATGTAAGATCGGCGATGATTATATTTTGGATCGCAGTCGGACGCGCGAAACGGAATTTTTTATCTCTCATATTTCTTAAAAAACTACGGTATATATTGTGGTTTAAATAATATTCATGCAATTTGTAATTTATTATATTGGGATTGAAGATTTATTATGTTGATACGAGAAGCAAGAAATTAATAATACGATGTTAGAGATAGTTCTTTGTCGAATGTTTTAGTTGAAATTAGGTCGATTCTTATAATCGGTATCGAGTAATAAATGCTCAAGTTTTTTTCTATACGTCCTTGAATAAAGTGGAGAAAAGTTGGTTTCCAAAGATGTACGGAGTAACGGCATTCGTTCGTGTTTGAACGAGTGTGGTCTGATAAATAGTCGATCACTGTGTTCTTCGTAAGAACAAATAAAAAGAAAAAAGAAGAAAAAAAAGAAAGAAAGGTAACTGTAAACTTCAATCAGTGCACTATCGCCCTAATTGTTACGTTGCCTTTTTCGGATCGTATGAAAACAACGAACCTTCAGTCTTAAAAGTCAAGAGCGTGGCCGACACACTCTGTTGGCAACAAGAACACTACATGGCATATATTCGTAAGTATTCCCAAAGTGTCGAACCATTCGTGGCGCGAAAAACACCTTGTCTTAATCGAATTATCGCTTATTAAAGGAATAAGAAAATTTCTATTCTAAAACAGAAAATTGATGACAGCATCTCGAACATTGCTTTCATCTTTACCTTCAACCAAAAAATTTAATCCAATTCGAACAATTCGATTTTTCGAAAAAAAATTTGAAACACTGTAAACTACTTTGCATATCGACTAACTCTTGTCGAATTTATACGTTAAACAAAGGAAATTTCGTAAGAATGGACAAATCTGATGCACGAAACTCAGCATTACCAAGTCGTAGCTGCTTCGTAACCTCGGGAAAAGGGAATAGATTTACATTTGAACGTGTACATTGATTGGCTACGCTCCCTTTGATACACGCGACGCAAAAAGAAGAAGAAGAAAAAGAAGAAAAGTGGTCGGTTACGTATAATGCGTAATTTCGAGAAGAAAAAAGATTGGTCATCTCGGTCACGACTCCTTCTGACAATCTAGATGCTCTTCGGGACTGAATTAATGGTGTTTCGTAATCTGGCTTAACTATCTGGTTTCCGGGCATCGGCCTTGCAGACCGCTGACCACGGCCGGATGCCTCTGTCTACGAATGGCGAACGAGTTAGCACCGGGGAGAAGTCGCTGAACGGGCGTTTAATGAAGTTGGCGTGGTTCAACAACCGTCCACCATCTTCATCTTCGGCCCGCCATCGTAATTTGCGTTTCGGTGCTGTTGATCGATCGCGTGATAATCGCTCGCTAATATCGTTCTCGGCATAAGTTTCCCATTTATCACGGGCGCAATCTTATTTTGCGCATACTTTTACGTTTGTACAATAAATTTCACTGTTACCGAGCTTTTTCCATTACAAGTTTCCATCCAGAATTGAATATTTATCGATGATAATTTTTTCTAACTGTTACCGCTGCTTATATGTAATTATTTATAATTAAGTAGATAAAATCTGGAGATGTAATTGTAGGTGGAAAAATTGTTAAATTCAAGATGTAGAAATATTATATCGGAAAAAATTGTTAATAAATGAAAATGTTGATCTGTCTGGAAGGAATTAATAATTTTTTGCAGAAGCAGGAAATTATAAATATATTTATAAAACCAGAGTGATTCCAACGTGAAATATTTGCTAATTAAAAATATGACTTTTATTTTAACATTTAATTAAGGAAAATGGCTCTCTTGCCAACCTCGAATCCGGAAAATTTATTCAAACGAAATACTTTATATCATATTTTTTGAATTTTTTTTTTAAAAATATATAAGTTTGAATTACAAAGTCGTGATAATGAAACTCATCGCGTTTTTAAAGTGTCATTACTATAATTATTACGTTCGAGTGAGTAATTAATTCTTGTATTAATTAGAGATATATCACAGATTTCCAGTGTTCTGATTTATCTGAAATAGCGTAATCTGAATTACGTAGAATGTAATCGACAGACGATATAATTTCGATATAATTATTTAACCCTTTAAGATTAATTTACCCCTAGATTATATGTATCTTGAAACATTTGATCCACATTTTTCAAATAAAAGCAAAATTGTTGTTGAAAGTTATAGTTGGACGTGCAATTAAAATAGATGCAAGGTCAACGAACGAATTGTTATGTAATTAATCGTTGCACGCAATAACAATTTTATGCGAATTCATTTATTCATCCATCCGCAAAAAAAGTCGTATATTTCTCAAGCTATTAAATAAAAAAATTGTAAATTCTCCTTTGAATCAAAGCGAATAAAATTTTTCCGTAAATTAGATTATTTCCATTGGAAAGAAAGGAGAACATTTGGAACAATTTGTATCGTAGGATTGAAACGTAAGTGAAAAAAACGTAAGTGAGGTTAAAATCTGAAGCAAATCATCCGAGATCGAAGAAAATGAAGCGTAGAATCCGATGCCTGACAAATTGGTTTCTTCTGGAACTCGTTTCGTTTTTTTCACGCTTGTATTACAGTTATGCGGTGTAGAACAACGACGTCGTGAGAAACCAACTGCGACTTCCTGCGAGCTTTCACTTCGTTTAATTGTGCTCATTCGTGACTCTTGACAATCTTGACATTGAACACAAAGCATTTTGTCGTGGAGAGAAAGTAAAGGGGAAACAGTTTATCAAGTGACAAATTGAACGTGAACAGGTGCGAAGATCGCCATTAAGAATTAATTTTCTCCCTTGAAATACTCTTCTCGATTATGACATCGTGATCTTTGAAGGAAAATGGCAAAGTATCGTTACAACTCTGTTACGTAACGTGATATTTATAAAAGAAACGACGGCGAAGTTTGCACAGGTAGCGTAACACAGATTTTATTATAATTACGCGCTAATGTAGTCGAACAAATGGTTCATAAACGAAGGATGATCCTTGATCGCCGAGACGAACGAAGCGAGATATCGACGGAATTTTAAATTCATTCATATTTTCTTCTTCGTTAATAACACGTTCGAAATCATCGATCGAAGTTTATTTATAGTCAGGTATATAATAATATATTGTCGATTATTAGAAAATTTTTTACTTTCCCACCTTTCCTCTATTCCCCCCACCCCCAAACTTTCTACTTCTCCGTTTCGTGAAATTTCCATTTTGTAAATTTTCTATTCCCTACTTTCCTCTATGAATTTTCTCAATTGCGGGCGTTATCGGGATGAATTTTCGCTCATCGGGAGAAATCGGTTCGCGTGCCGCGAGAAAATCTATAACCTTTTTCATCCGACAACCGGTTTAACTCGCGCTTTCCTTCTGCCCGAGTTACCTTTCCAACCTTTTTGTCTCTTTCCACGATTCTTCTCCACGATCCCCCCCCCCCCTCTTCATCTTCTCCCTCATTTTCTCGCCGCCAATTACGGCATCCAACGTTGCACCATTGAACTAATTAACTTTGCGATCCACACGACTCCGTGGACTCGTTTCGATTCCTCGTTTCGAAGTCGGCCCCCCCCTCGGCTTCTTCTATTTAGCAAAATCGCACGTTGAAACCGAGCGATCGATACGAGCGTGAAAGTGACACGCTCTCGAAAGTGGCGCATCCATTTAAATGCTTCCATGAATTTTTTCCAAAAAAAAAAAAAAAGACGATCGTTTCTTTTCTACAAATAATATACGCAGTTTCTCTCTGGTTTAACGTATAAATAGGGGCTCGAAACAAGTTTGATTTTCTAACTGATTATCGTAGTAATTTATTAATAGGATGTATTTTATATATAGTACATGATAACACGTTTGCTTGAATGCTTCAACGAAATATATTAATTATTATTGGTACAACCGTTTTTTAATTGATGTTTTAATACGTATTCAATCATTTCGTTGTGAAAGTACGATAAACACTAATTTTTATTCCAGTTATTCCATTTTTATTCCACGAATCAAATTATTGCTATAACGAGCTACTTGTTACTTGTTTTATTTGAAATTAGAAATTTCAGATAGATTTAGACAGGAAAATATATATATATATAAAATGATGGAATTTCGAATACACGTTTAATTTGTCTCGTAAAAAGGAATTTTTAATCAATTTACGCTTTTAATTATGATAAATCGTGTTTCCAAATGGTAACGATTCTTTTTTTTTTTTCGAAAATTTCAGATTGGAAGCAATTAAGAAAGTTTCCAGTAGACGGCGAACGATAATCATGCCAATTAAGCGATGTTTGCCATCAAGATGACCTCGACGAAGCCGATCATCACGTTTTCATGGCTGTTGCGATCCTACAAGAGGCCTAGGTTCAAGTTGGAATGGCTCGGTTTCGTGTTCGCCTGCCTTTTGTCCAGTTGCTCGGCAAGGAACAATCCACCGCGTTTCCTGATCGACGGCCAAACGGAAATCATTCTCAGGCAGAAAGAAGGTCCTGATACGCCAGTTGGTAAGGACATATGGAACTCGATTCTGCTTCGGTTAACACGCCACACGTGGACGAGAACGAATAACATTCCTTAAAGAACTTCAAATTAAAAATCACCAGCAACATTATATTACTTCTCGTATTAACGTGTCGTTAATTTTTAAACAAGGAAGAAAAAAATAATAACATCCACTTTGGCAATTACTTTTCTATAAATTATTTATAGAGGAAAAAAAAAAAGAATTACTCGTAAAATTATTACTTCCATTTTTAATTGTAGGATTAATTTCAAATTGTAATAATCACTTTATTTTCTTTATTGCTAAAATATACCACGAACGTGTATTTAATTTTTGATTTCTCTCTCTCTCTCTCTCTCTCTGTTATCTTTCCTCCTTCGTCTCGATCGAATGCTCGTAATCTCGAGACTATTGCCAGAAGTTTTTATACCCGTGATAAAAAAAATATATATTCCTTCGAAATTGGAAAACAAATTTTCCACGCCTGTTTTACCTGTTCAACCATCCTCCACTGACCGCATCCACCCACTCCTCGATATCATCACGCCCCGATCACCGTTTCCACGCGTTCAAATTAATCACGCCTTTATCGTTTCCTGGTGTATCGCGTTGCGATTCGTGCCGACTGGTTTCTGTTGCAGGCAGTTTAATTTACAGGCTTCGCGGCGTCGATCCTGACGGTGACAGCCTGACGTTCGGCGTTAGAGATCAACCTGGCAGCGACGTGATCCGGGTGGAGAATTTTAGCCCGACCGAGGCCAATATTTACTTGAACAAATTGCTGGACAGAGAGGTAATTTGTCCCCGAGACGGTCTATTTCACAGCGATCGTTTTACTCCCATCTCGATCGAAGCGACGACAGTAGCTTCGAACGTTTTCCAATATTTTCGTTTCAATCGAGCTTGCTAATTCAATATTAATTCTGTTGGGATTATTGGTAAGTTTGTTAATCCGATTGAAAGTGAAAGCGTGTGAACAATTTTGGGAAAGGTCGATCATTTTTCTCGGATCCTGAAAGTATCATTTAACGTTGGAAATTTTAGATTTTAAATGGAATGGTAAACGGAGGAAAAATTCGAGTCATCTTTTTCACTCGTTTGTTGCGACGATGACGAATTCCATCCTTTCGTTCGATTAAAAAATCTCGAGTAACTTTTTCTTTCAGAGACAAAATTTCCTTTTGAGACACGAAGAACGAGCGAAATTGCCTAAAACTGAATCTTACTTCTCTCTAACGACATCAAGAGATATCCATCTTAATTTTGCAAATTTCTAATAAAACTTTCGTTCGTCCAGAATTTGCAGTAATTAAATTTCATATCTCTTTTTACCTTCGGGGTGAAAAATAATTTTTGTTGCACGAGCGATCCTGGTGAATATCTTCCACGCATAGCAGGCTCGATCGCATCGAGGATATTAAAGAGAAACTCGGGGGACGAGCGAGCGAACTGAAGAACCGTGCAACCATCGTGCGATCTACGCCCGATCTATTCGTGGAACTTGTTATTTTGTCATCATCGTCCCTCTTAAAACGTGACCGTTCGCGTGTAGGCTTAATTCCTCGCCGAGGAATATCGCGCGTGATTATTGGTCTGACGCCGCCACGTATACCGACAGAGATTGTCTCTCGTCGTGGTTTTATAATGATCTGGGTAATGCCGCCACTTTCTAAGCGATAGGGTGGTTTGCATGATCCGTCTAGCTTTCATGATCCGTTCCAATTTGCTCCTTTTTTGCCATCCCGGACGAGATGGCGTTCGTTCCACCTAGCGAATTCGATTTACCAGGTGTATACCGCGCGAGAAAATCAATTGGCCGTGTTATTTATAACCTGTCTCTCTAATCTGCAATTACATATTCTCTTTTTTTTAGAAATTTCTGACAATCGTAGAAAAATATTTGTGAATCAGAGTGGATCAGCTTTCGATCGATTTCGATAAAATTATTCGTATATCTATATACTTCTGATAATTATAGAAAAATATTTTGAAATTGAAAATTTGATGAAAATTTCCAACTTTTATATATGGAATTTCGAGTATGTTAAAACTTCGAATCCAATATGTCGAAATTGTAACGTTTTGTCCAGGTAAGGGACGAGTACGCGCTGGTGTTGACTCTGACAGACGGAAGATTGGGCGAGGGGAACTTCATCACGCAAAGTTTACTGCTGCTGGTCGAAGATGTTAACGACAACGTGCCGATATTCCGTCCACATCCGACTTCGTTGACGTTACGGGAGGATTCCGGGCCGAGCGTTTTAACAACGGTCGAAGCCACGGACGCGGACTTAGGGGCACACGGGCAGGTGGTTTACTACCTGCAGGAATTGGACGGGGATAATGATGTGTTCAGTATTTCGACCGTGAATGGAAAAGGTGTCATCCGGCTGGTTGGCCGCCTCGATTACGAAAAGAAATATTTGTACCAGTTGAGGATTTTGGCCATCGATCGAGCGATAAACGAAAAGGTTTTTTAAAAGGAAAAAAATTGTCGATTAATAATTATTCGCAATAATTTATTTTCACGTTAAAAAATTGTGATACGTTTCAAGTACGTTTCAAGACATAGGGGTATGAAAATTGTGTTCGAGATAAAGCCCGCATGTTGATTATCGTTTACATTGAAAAGTATCTTTGCAAAATATTCGAAAGAAAAAAAAACAATGAGAGTATTTTACGCGATTTGAACTTTTATTTAACATTACGTAGTAATTGTTTTTCACTCTGTCTTTAATTATCTTTAATAAAGGTAAACACAGGAACAACCGCGATACTCGTCAAAGTTCAAGATGTCGAGGATCAACCTCCGGAGTTCATAACCATGACACCTGTTGCCAGAATCAGTGAAAATGCTAGGATAGGCACATCCGTTCTCCACGGTTAGCCAACGATTTATTATATATATATCATTAGAAACTATATCAATCAAACAGAAAAAAAAAGGAACGAAACAAATTTTTAAAACAAATCCTCAGATTAATATTTAATTTTTGAATTACAAATTTTAAATAAATCCAGAGAATATCCAACGAAGCAACTGATAAATATCGTAGAATTATGTCTTTTTCAGAAGCACGTGTTCCGTTACTTTCACTCACCGTAAAATTAATAATAAAACATTCTCTAATTTACCGGTTAATTCTTTTTTTCTTCTTCTTCTTCTTCTTCTTCAAAGATTCAGGAAACGTTTTACGGCTCGCATCCTACGTTAAAATTTATGAAATTCGTTCTATTACGATACGATTACGATCGAATCGTTCCAGCTAATAGTTACAAATCGTGAAATAAACGTTACAGTTCGCGCGGTAGACGGCGACAAGGGAATAAACAACAAAATCGTGTACAGCATCAGCCAGGGGCCGAGGTATCTGTTCGACATTGACGCGACTTCCGGCCTGGTGTTCACCAGGGCGCAACTCGATCGAGAAGCGGAGGAGAACGCCGACGGCACTTTTATCCTCGAGATTACCGTGAAAGAGGTGTCGAAGATCGTGCCTGCCCCGTCCGTTTCCACCGAAGTCACTATCATTCTGACGGACGTGAACGACGAGGCGCCCAAGTTTCGAAGCCCGAGATATCGTGCCGAGATAAACGAGAACGCGCCGTACAATACGCCGGTTAATTTCATCGGCGATGCGGTGCCGGAAGTTTACGATCATGACTTGGTGAGAAGCGAGTTGTAATCTTAGATAATGTTCATCAGGTTATGAAAAAAAAAAAAAAAAAGAGGATCGATGATTCAATTTGAATTTCGACAAATGCGTAATTACAGATGCATGAGCGTTCTTATATGTACAGTTTACGCGAGAAAGTGGTTTCATTTCGACTTTCTGAGAAATTTAAATCTCGGAGAAAAAGTGTTTTTCAAATTCTTGCATTACAATGCTATGCGAAGCATTCGATTAATTCTTTACTTTTACTTGGTAAAATTTAAAAACTGTAGCGTGTTTTTCTTTTCGTTTAATATTCCGTTTGAACGGGTTTCTCACGAAGAATTTTATTCCAGGGTACAAATGGCACGTTTAGAATGTTCATCGAAGGTGACGACGGAATTTTCGACGTGACCCCGTCCAGAGGAATTAACGAAGCCCCCTTCCTGATACGCGTCAAAAATTCCAGCAAGCTGGATTTTGAAACTAGATCAGGTATCCGAACGATTCTCAGCTTAAATTTGATTTGCAACGTTGCGATAATTTCGCGATGATTTTAGCGGTAAATTTCACGTTAATCGCGAAGGAAGTAGTGACATTGGCGCCGAAACTTAGCAAAGTGCCGGTGGTCGTTTTTATAAAAGATCAGAACGACAATTATCCCGAGTTCACGGAAGACAAGTACGAGGTATCGATTCCGGAAAACTGCGCTGTTGGAACCACGGTTGCGTGGGTTCAAGCCTTGGACGAGGACAGTGGCAATTTCGGGACGCTTGGAATTAGATATACGAATTTAGGCGGCAGTATTGCGCACGCGTAAGTTTATGATGAACGAAAAGAAAAAGAAAAATTTTTGTATCCTAAAATTTAAAAAAGAAATTGGAATATAGTTCAACAACGATTTCAACAGCTTATCTGCACATACTCCTTGTAATTTTTAACAATATTATTCGTTTCAGACTATCGATGGATCCTTTGACAGGGATAATCACGGTTAAGGAACCGGGGACGAGTTTCGACCGAGAACTAGTATCCCGACATTATTTAACGGTGGAGGCAAGGGACGACCTTGGGAAAGGGAATCGCAATACCGTCCAACTGGTCGTCAATGTGAACGACGTTAACGACAATGCGCCTATATTTCTGCAAAACAAATACGAAGCGGTGCTTCTTGAAAACGAGGATCACTTCCAATCGCCATTAATCGTCGAGGCATTCGACATCGATTTGAATGGTTCGATACTTTCACATTCGCGTATTACACGTAGAGAATTCTTCGCACGATATCGATTATTCTTTCCTCTTATACTTTCCAAACCAAGGTACCAAGAACAGCGAAGTGGTGTACGCTTTGGTGTCGGGAGAATTTTCGAGGAATTTTAGTATCGATTCGAGGCAAGGCGTTATTACACCGACAACACCTTTGGATTACGAAGCGTTGCCCATCAGTCAAGGGCACAAGGAAACGTCGGTGCGCCCATTGAGATTGACAGTGCGAGCCAGGGATATGGGTAGCCCGAGCCTCAGCTCGGACGCGCCATTAATTATTTACCTGAAGGACATCAACGATAACACGCCCGCATTCGAGAGGACGTTGTACAAAAGAAGCATTCCGGAGGATCTGCCTGGTGGCACGAGTGTAGTTCAAGTATTACTCCATTCCGATCAAACGTTGTATCGTAAATTTACATATGAAACTCGTGGTGAAATGTAACGTGTGTTTGTCGCACAGGTTAAAGCATGGGACAAGGATTTATCCTCGCCCAACAACAAATTAGTGTATCGAATTCAAAGCGGTGCAGGCGATAAATTCGTAATAAGCCCGGAAATAGGAGTGATCAGAGTTGCGCCAGGATCTAATTTAGATCCTGATCTAACTTCGCCGAAGACAACTAGGTACAGCTTGAACGTTATCGCGATCGACAGTGGAACGGAGATTCAAAGAACGGCCGAAGTTCTAGTCAATATCACTATCGTCGATGTTAATAATAAACCACCTGTTTTCATCGATCCTGGCACAGTGACTATTCGCGAAAATACGCAGGTACGGTACTGTGCCACGAATAATTTGGAAAAAATCTTTTGTCCGTAGAAATTGCACGTTTAATCCAAAACAACGTGACAGTAAAACTTATTTTATAAATACTTTTGCAAATTTTGCAATTTTTAAATTTTTAATACACAATCCTGGTACAGTGACTATTCGTGAAAATACGGTTTAGAAAAAATGTTTAACAATGTTTTTGCAAGATATCGATAAATAAAATTTTTAATATTTCAAAAAAAATTTATGAAACACTTTTTGCAGCAGGAAATTACGCAAGGAAATTAAACATCTGATAATTTGCGCCATTTTGTTATTCAGGTTGGAGCGTACGTGCACCGTGTTGTTGCTAATGATCCAGACATCGCGCCGATATTGCGTTATCGTATCGATCCGAATTCTTCGGAGGCAAGAAACGAGGAAGGGACGTTAATCAAGATCCAAGAGTACGATTATCTGTCCACGTTGGAATTGAATGCACTCGATGGATTGCTTCGCGTAGTTAAATTGCTAGACAGAGAAAGAGTGGAGACGATAAGATTGGGACTGATCGTTGAAGACTTGGCTGCAATTAGGGGGATACAGACTGCATCCGGTTGGTACAAAGAACGGAAAGAGCGCGTGAGAAATTTTTTTTTTTTTTTGTAAATTTTCATCGTCATTTCAGCCACGTTGAACATAATAATCGAGGACGAGAACGATAACAATCCACGATTCCGCCGACCATTTTATAGACGATCGGTGACAGAGAACAGTAAAAACGGCGTGAACATCGCGAACATCGTGGCTGACGACGCTGACAAAAATCGGAGCATTACGTACTCCTTGGAAAGCCCTAAAGAGCTCACGGATTTGGTCCATCTTGACTCTGAAACGGGTGAAATGGTTGTGGCGAACAAAATCGACAGAGAGCAATATTCCTGGCTCAATCTGTCGGTTCGTGCCACCGACTCAGGAATTCCACCTAGGTAAAAATTGTTCTTTCAATTTTTAATCGTTCGTTCGTTTACTCCGTTAAAATTGTGGATAAATTTTGCAAAACGTATGATTCAACGATACAATCCCCTGTATTTCTCGTATTTTCAGTTTAATCGAAAAAATGAAAAATCTTATTTTACTTTACGTAGATCGAGTCTTTCCGAAGTGTACGTTCAAGTGCTGGATGAAAATGATAACAATCCATACTTTGTCACTGACATTAATAACCTGAACGTGATGGAAAATTCTAAAATTGGTACAGAGATCGCCAGCATCCAAGCTAGAGATCCCGACAGCGGAGATTACGGAAAGATTACGTACCTTTTAGACAGGATGTCATCCGAGGTAAGCCCGAAACTACTTTTTATCTTATTACATTTCGTATCACGATCCATCATCAAAGGTCTCGTGAACAGGGTACGTTTGCCATTCATCCTGAAACTGGTGCCTTGACCGTAGCAGATTCGATCGATTGGGAGGTTAAACAAAATTACGTCCTGGTCATAGAGGCTTGGGATAATTATCAATTTGGTTACACTGCTGGCGAATCGAGAAACGCTTTCAAACAGATCCAGTAAGCTGATTTCTCGGATCTGTTTTATGATTGATATATCATTTAAATTAAATCAATTACAAAAATTTACCTTTTGTACAGGGTGACAGTGACGGATGTTAACGACAACCCACCAAAAATGGACGTACCCTCGACGTGCGTTACCGTATCAGAGTTCCACGACATCAAAGACGTTATTTTCGCCATGAAAGCGAGGGACGCGGATGACCCAAAGACGCCAAACGGCCGCGTGAAAATTCGTATTCTCTTCGGGAATGAATTAGGTCTGTTCATGTTGGAGCAAACGGATTATTGGACGGCAAATGTAAAAGCAGCGCACTCCCTTCGAGGAAAATTCGGCAATTATTCGTTGCACCTGGAAGCACGAGATCTCGGCACTCCGTCTAACAAGGACACTGCTGTTCTGCACATCTGTGTGACCGATTACAACGACAATCCCCCAGTGTTTATCAGTCCACAGCACAATACGACTATTCGAATACCAGAGGTGAGTTGCGCTTTAATAATAAAAAAAAAACAAAAATGTAACGTAAATAAAAAAATCCATAGAACGTAACAATTGGTACACCGATCATACAAATCGAGGCCAAAGATGCCGATACCGGCCCAAATGGGGATGTCCATTACCGTTTGAAACAAGACTTGGCCGGCCATTGGAGAACATTTCACATCGACGATACAACTGGAATTATCTCGCTAAAACTTCCTTTGGACAGAGAAACGCAAAAATTGTACGAGGTAAGTAAGTAACTTTGAAATTACAATTAAATGGATGATGATTCATACCTTTTCATCTCAGATCAGAGTTGAAGCGTACGATCTAGGAACTCCAACCCCGCTCAGCACGGATCTAGATCTAATAATCTACGTGCGAAACATAAACGACTACGAGCCTCAATTTTTGGTAGACGTGTTTAACATCAACTTCACGGAGGAACAGGCCCCGGGTACCGAAACGGTACAATTGCCGGAAACAATCGACAAGGACGAGGTGGACGATCTCGACGATCCTCCCACCCAAGTGTGCTACTTCATAATCAATGGGAACGACGACGGCCTCTTCGTCCTCGACATTTTCAAGCACGAATTAACCGTACGCGTTACGATTGTTGTTCAATGCGATATGACTCGATACGCGGATTGAAATTTTTTTTAACGTTTTCAGACCGCAAGGATATTGGACAGAGAGCAGCAAGAGGAACATTTGTTGATCGTGAAAGCGACGGAAGACTGCAACATCGTTCCGGCAAACGAGACGTTGTTCGATGAAACGAACGACACCACGTTGAAACTTATTATAAACGTGTTAGATGTGAACGACAATCCGCCCAAGTTTGTCGGTAAAATATTTACGGGAGGAGTGACAACCGAGGCTGATTTTGGCACCCAATTTATGCAGATCAAGGTAGAGCGTTGCGTATCATTCGTCGAGAGAAAGGTGAAAATAAAGTTGTTACATTTTGAAAAAAAAAAAAAATGACGGTTTCAGGCGATTGACTTAGACGCGGGTGACAACGCCGTGGTCAATTATTACCAAGTTGGTAAAATACACATGACTTTGACGGAGGGTTTAGACGATATCGAGTTGCAACCGTTTCTCGTCAACAAACTCACGGGGGTGGTGAGCTTGAATTTTGATCCTCAAAGAGGGATGAAAGGATATTTTGACTTTATGGTAATTCAAATAGAGAAATCATTATTAAAAAGAAAAATCTTATTAATCTTATTATTCGAACAGGTGCTGGCAAACGATACTTACGGATTGGAAGATACAGCGAGGGTATTTATTTATTTGTTAAGAGAGGATCAGAGAGTTCGTTTTGTATTGCGACAACATCCACCAGAAATAAGGAATAAAATAGAAACGTTCAGAGAGTAAGCGTCTGCGTTAAAATTTTTCTTCTCTTTTTTTTTTTTTGAAACGAATTAACTTTCGTTTCGATAAATATAAAAATTTTCAGAATATTGGGGAACGTGACCGGGGCTATAGTTAACATCGACGAATACAAGATTCACGAGAATCACGATGGCTCCGTCGATCGAACAAAGACCGACTTGTACATGCACCTTGTAAATCGTCGAGACAACTCCATTCTCGAAGTGTCGGAGGTTCTCGAATTGGTGGACAGAAATATAGAGAAGCTCGACGGTCTGTTCAAGGAATTCAATGTTCTCGACACGCAAGCGGCCCAGTATCAACCGATTGTTCAGTACGAGCAAGCGGGAACCACTTTTTGGCTTTTGACTTTGACCTTGTTTCTGGGTGCTCTGCTAATTCTCTGCATAGCCCTCTGTCTCTCGCAGAGGGCCTCGTTTCGAAGACAATTGAAAGCGGCTAACGCCTCCCCATTTGGTAAATATTATATTTTTCAATTAATCGATCCGAAATAATTAATTAATTAATCAACCCAATATTGTATCGTTAAATTTATTTTGTGGAATTATAATGGAAATGCAAGGAATAATTAATGAAAATTATTCACTTTCGTTGAAGGAGCGTCAGACGCGGAATTTATCAGAGGACCGGGCCGTGTACCCAACACGAACAAGCATAGCGTGGAAGGTTCCAATCCCATATGGATGCATGCTTACGAGAACGAATGGTTTAAAAGCGACGAGTCGATCAGTCATATGTCCGAGAGAGACTCTCTGGACGAAAATGCGCTGAACAACGAAGATATAATGAACGAAGCTAACGCAAACCAAAGAAACGATGATAAACCGTATTATATCGAGCCAAGAGTGTCTTCCATTTCGAGGTAACTTGTTCAATATAGATTTTTCATCGTTCAAATTAACGTGAGACATAATAGAATATCAATTTTGATTTTGTAGCGCGGAAAGTATCCCAGATATACCAAATGACTTCCATCGAAGTTCTCCCATATATAGAATGCAAAATAATATCGTCAATCCTCTTGGCAAGAAAATAGAAACGACAGAGCTGTAATCGAACAACGATGATCACTTTTATCCTCGATAAAAATGTTTATTATAATATTTATATTATAATTTTCGTTAAGAGAGTGTAAAGTTATTAAAATAATTTTGTGTAAATAGTCAACAGGTTCGTACAAGTTTGCAGTGATAAGTATATTTAATATATTTATTTTATAATAATTTAAAAAAAAAAATAACGATTATATTACTTTATTTATCGATCTTTTGCCTCGTGCCTACCGTAATAAATACAAGCGTTTATCTTTGATGAACTTAATTCGCGAGTACATAATCATGACTCATCGGTTTAAATTTAGAAATTTAATGATCTCTGCACATCAATACATTTGTACACCTTCATACCTTTCTTTCTTTTTTTTTTTTTTTAAGGAATAAAATAATTAATTCAATTTTATCCTTATTTACAATCAATCAATATTAAGAATTTTTTATCTATGTGACGTTCAATAAGTAATCTTTGTTCAATAATAAAAAATGTTTTATTCACCAGTATGGTGCTACCATCTACCGGTTTCACAACGAATACCCTACCATTATCTAACATAGTTCTCACAGCCAGAAATATTTAATTACAGATTTAATCAATCGGATCTTCAACATCTGTCATTATGATTTAACATTTATTAAATCATTCTACAATATAATTTCTCTGAGAATTGAGTTTAAAGCACGAATCTTAAAAAGAAGAAAATCTTAATAAATCGCTAAAAATAATAATATTTTTAAAATTAACGATTCCAATTTTCACAATTCATACATCTTTGCAATCCCCTTGTTCCAATTGTTCGAAAATAACTTTCATTTCAACAATATCACCTGTACATAAACCGCTGTACGTAAAAACTGGTATCTCAGATCGAGCCCTTATAAATTAGAACGTGAAAACCGGGCATGCAAAATGAAGCCAACCCTCCCCCGGAACAATCTTGCTCGTGTATACGTAGCCAAAACTGGGTCGCATAATATTAAAGCGCGATGGCACTTGCACGAAGTCCAAGCCGTGTGATCAAAACGATCATCCCTTCCCGTATTAACTCGTGGCAAAAGTTTATGGCTTTACGATCGGTCGTAATAGATTTTCAGCGAAATTGTTTTTTCTTTCTTTTTTTTTTTTTAACGGCGAGAGATCGTTATCCGCGAGAAGGTTATGGTGGCGGCTCGTAACGATGGTATCGCGGCACGAAATACCGCTAAAAGAAGAATCCATTGTTCGAATGCAAATGAAGCTTGTTGTGACCTCGATGGGTCAGTCACACTCCTTGGTCCCTTTCACCCTTAACTTCTAATTTAATACTGAGACTTTTCTCGACATTTAACTTTAACCCGCCACACGCCATCGTCTTATCAATCGCGAGGGAATTGGGATAAAAGAAAAATCGTGGCCGGGCGGATATTTTTCGATCGATATCTGAATGAACATTCGAATTAATTCGACGTTTGGATTAAGAGGAAACTTTGTCTTGAATGAATTTTTAAAAAAAGTTATTAAATTTCTTAGAAAAAAAAAATAAATAAAAAGCGTGTTGAAAAAAGGAAAGATAAAATTATACATCGAAGAAGAGATTAATTCGAAATAAATTTTCTAATAACATATTTGCATAACTACTCTGCGTTTCGTTCGCACTTGAGACAGGAAGTTTCATAAATAGAGCTTGTCGCACGAGCATACGTTTTACGGGACGGAAAATGAGCGAGGCAGAAGTCGTACGCACAGAAATCGGTTGTGGGTTGAGAGGTAAGGTAGCCGAGGAAACGGCCACCTAACTCCCTTATCCTATTCCTGAACGTCAGCTTCGCGTGCAACCTTATGCTAATCTCGATCGGGTATATAAGCGAGTGGTCAGTGTTCGAGTTCCCTTCTGCTTTTCAACCCTTCATGAGTCCACACACCAACGCCGCTAGGAACAATCTACTGGCGTTTCCATTAAAATCACTGGCGTGGCACCGCTCCTTAATTGATCGTATTTCCAGATAAATGGGATTAAATAAATAAACGAAAAAAAAAAAAGAAGAAGAAAAAAAGAAATTAAACTTTCGTTACGAATCTTACCAGTTATGCATCTTTGATTTCCCTCGTGAAAATTATTCCCGTAAGTTAAGTTCCTCCGTTAATTTCTACCTACACTATGTTGGTAATTTTTTACGCCACATATCCCTGCAAATGACAAGTAATCGTTACTTGTCCTGCAGTTATATTCACTTGCTTGTGCCGATCTTGTTTCACGCTATTACTACATCGTGTAGTAAGAGATGCATTTATTGTAATTTGCATACACCGATCCTTTATCACAAGCACGAAATATCGATACACGAACAGTTCTCTAAATGTCCTTATTCTTTCGTTAAATTTATTCGAATTATTATTAATTTAATTGGATAAAGATTTTCGAATTTATGAACACGCGTTATAACATTACACAAAGAATATAATCGAGGAATTGTATTAATCAATTGTAATCGTTAAGAAAAAAATAAATGTTAGAAATGGCTACGCCAGCAATAAAATATCATTATAGGATTATTCACGACGAAACTCCGACAGTTTTAATCACAGGCAAGTTATCTCGTCTGGACGATGGACGATTAAAGAAATCAAACTCTTGAGATGTCTATCGTCGAAATTTGCTCCCCGTGGAAAACAAATCACGCGACCCCCGCGTTAAAGAACCCCTCCCCTCTTATTAGGGAGTGCGTATAATACTGAAGGCCCTGACTTCTCGAGCCCTGACTCATCCACGTTACACTGCCATTCGATATTACATCGATAACTTGCAATTTTTTTCGTACGACCTTACGGTGAAAGCCTATGTTCCATTTACTTTTACCAACTTTTTAATTATTATTTAGAATTAATTATTTAGAAAAAAAAAAAGGAAAAAGGTTTGAACGAAGAGAAAGGAAGAAATACATTTTCGAATTGCGTGACCTTTGATAGCGAAGGTGCGATATCTTATCTGAGAAAGAAAGGAATTAATAAGAATAATTGGGAACAGTGATAAAAGTGAAAAAAGTTCAAGGTAAATGTTCTTATGATAGCTCCAAGGATTCGAAGAAAAGGTGATCGTGATATTGAATTGTAAAGAAAGAATTTCAATGTAAGAAATTATCGTTTCGAACAGCGTGAAATTATTTTAGTGGATTAATTGAGTCGGTATAAATAAGCAAGTACATTAACTATTTTCTGCACCTACGTTATCGCGATGATCTTTAAACATAATCAATTCAAGGTTGATACAGACCATTAAGAACAAGCGCATACATTACGTCAGATTACAATTTTGTGCTTTGCCGTAAAATCCGCAGTGAGGATTTGCATAAACGTTACCCTTATACGCATTATTAATGCCATAAAATTTCACAACTAACACGTTCAAGAAAAAAATCGCAATTTCTGAGAAACGAAGATCGAAATGTCGGCTAAAAATATTCTCTAAGAAAGAAGGAAAATTGTGAATTTCACTTTCACTTCGAATATATTATAGTGATCGCCACGAATATTTCGCAAAAAAGAAAATTATCTAATGGAGAAATTCTAATGAAAAATCGGTGATACAATAAGAAGAAAAGGTGGATGCACCCTCGACAACCTGTGGAGAGGGGATGACCGGTGTTTCGCGGGGTACACGTGACACGAACGTATAGAGTTCGAGTTGAGGGTTGAACGAGACAACCCCTTCACATGCGCGGCGTTCGCGGCCACGTGAAGTGTTGCGTTCTTCCACAACTCTCGAAAATGTCGACCCTCGACCACGGTTAAAACTCCTCTCGCGTTAAAATCTAATCTCTTTTCGTGGAAATTCTTTGGTCAAATAGAGAGAAACTTTTTTTTCGATCGAGAAACGAAAAAAATCAAACTCGAAAATCCAAGAAAAAGGAAAAAAGACGGAGGAGGGAAACGAATGTTACGAAAAGTTTGCGCGACGTGTGTCGTCGGGGTGTTACTTTAATTGCAAGTGCTTCGTTCAACGTCTTCTCGTTATTACATTACAGTTTTCGATTAAGATATTTGATTATTTTTGAAGCTTTTATCGATTTTATCGATGCTCGTTCAATAATCGTTTCGATATGATTGCTCGTTACTTTTAAAGTGATAGTTTTTTCGAGGGGGAGAGGTATGATTCGCAAGAAGTGTGGGTCTCTGCGTGTACGAATTACTTTACGCGGGAAAAAGTAATTTTTTTTGAAAGATTTCGTTGAAGGAACGATCGATGGATGTCCTGGCAAAAAACATGCATTGCTTCACGATTCTGCGCTGCTGAATGACTCTGCTGCGATCAGGTAAGTGGAAATAAATAAGTGGAAATAAATAACTATAAAAAATTTTAAAATCGTGAGAATTCCATGTTTTTCTATTTCTTTTAAATTTTATCTTTTAAATTTCTACGATCTAATAATGATAAAAGACGAAGAAATATAATCCAATTCGATTACCTTTTATTCTCCCAGAAGAAAGTTTGCGTATCGAATATGACACACAAGATTGTTTTAATTGACACGGCAACGTGTGTTTTAAGTTGGCGTGGCATGCCAGCACGACATTTCGTATCCCACTAACGAAGATATTTGATCGTTCTACATTTCACGACTTTGCGACTGGGCGTTCCACTATTTCGTAAATATACATAATCAAATTTACTTCATTCATGATATTCATAAAGGATAAAGTTTCTCGATAAATTTATTTCACATTTGACAATTACATGAATTAAAAATGCGAAAAATCTGTATTGTAACCGGATTCATATACGTGTATAATAACAGGTGCGTGTTAAACTAAGCAAGGGAAAAAGAAAATCGGATCGATCCATCCGGAATGGACAATGACCGGCAGCAGGAATACCATTAAATTCTTATGCACGAATGGACGAACTTGAAAGCTCGATTCCTTCTCGAAGACAAATGAGATGAATATTTTTAAACATTTATCAACTGTCTCCGTTGCACGAGCACGAACCAATTCAAATTTTATGAGTTGAATAGTTAATAAGTTAATTCCGATTTCCGTTATTTTTAAATATTTTATCAAAGTTCTTTGAACCCTTTGTACATTCTTTTATTGCGTTTGAGATCGATCGATCGAACTCTGACTCGTGAAAAAATTTTATTACGTAACAATTCGAAATTCATTCGAGTAATAACTATTTTTTTCTTAATTATTTACTCTTCAAATTTGTCGTGGAAATAATCGATGGCCTATGTTTATTTCATGTCCCACGTATTATTTAGAGTCCAATTTAGGGAAATTTCATCGACACGTGGCCATGTATAATTCGTGAGGTCAGGTGTACTCGGTTCTTAAACGATAGACAGAAGACAGACGTGTTGAGAACGAAGCGAATTAAAGGCTTTCAAATTAATTGACGAGGAGGGGTGGATATTCTCAATTTTTTGTATGTAATTGATGATTGTATAGCATTGTTTCTAAAATACACGTTACCCAACCAGCAGAAAAATGCAAAAAAATTAATGGATTGTATCGCCATTACGTCAAACCTACTTTTACCAGCAAAAGGATTTACAATTGGTGCAAAGAACTGACCACTGACGAATACTATTAATTCCGAATAATGAATGGTCACGACCTCGTTTCTTGATCATAAAATCGATATTCTCGATTCTATCAGAATCTTTGTCTTCAATATAGATTATTTACACGTAACCATAGCATTGTTAATTTAATTCCTTTGTCAACAAATCATAAATTTAAAAAAAAAATCTCAATGATTCGTTATATTTTTAATACAGTTTTTTTAATGCCATTAAATATATCATAAAATTTACAATAAAAAAATCAATGAATTATCTCGGATTAATTATATAATTTATAAATTACAAAATAAATTAAATGATCGAGAAAGAACAATTTAAGAGGTTGAAACGTTGTGGATAAATATTTCATTGTAATTTAAATATTCAGTCCCTCTCTTATGCCATGACATTGGTATTTTTACAGTAGTATGAATTATTTCTTACTAAGAGATCGATAAATTTCTTGTTGATCGGAAATTGGTGGCGTCTTATTAACCGTTTATTCCTCTTTCTATCAAATTTCCGGGTTCAAATGTTAAAACGAAACTCACGTGTTACACGAGCAACATACACGTGATATTCGTTAAAAATGATATACAAATAATATTCGAATATTTATTGATGAAAATTTTCCACCCGATCATCGTTGATGAGTTACACTGCTCTGTTGAAAGAGGGAAGGGCGTCCTATCACGCGGAACCGAAGAATGACCACCAACTCTCCCTTAAATAATTGCTCACTCGATAAATGGAATGACTGTCAGTTCGTTGGAAGGGATTTGAACTCGCTTCTTTTGCAATATTTAGAAAAGGAATAAGGGAAGTAAGAAATGAAAACTAACGAGATATCGATCGTTACATTAACGCAAGAAAGCGGGTAAACTCGATTCGTCAAATTGATTGAAAGAAAATTAAAACTTCTTATAACGAATACCGATAAATAATAATTAAAATTCATGTAAAAATAAACTTGAAACAAATTTTTTCGAATTGAATAACTAATTCGATTATTTATAAAATAAAAATATTCCACGATTTCCCTGTTTTCAGAATGCCCTTTGCAGGAGAATGGTGCAAAGTATGGATTTATTTCGGATTCGTTTTCGCGTGGGCGAGAGGTGCACGTCCACGCTTTGATACTTCCACGGATATGGGATTAGTTCTAGTTCCAGCTGATGCTGAAGTGGATTCGGTCATTTTTCGTCTTCGAGCCACTGACCAGGATGCAGATTTTCCGCTCGTTTTTGAAATAACCGGTAATCCCTTTGCGAATACCGATAACGCAATAAATAGATCGCTCGAACTTTGTGACAAAAAAGAAAAAGAGAAAAAGACGAGCAATATTTATCTTTACGCGATTAATATTCGCTACTATTGAACGTGTTAGAAAAAATAAAGTATCGATCGGATATAATAATTTTTTTATTTGTTTAGCCACCATCACACCTGTTGTAAGGATCGACAACCTGCCGTGCACGTTGTACAACAAAGTGTGTCAAGCCAATGTGATTCTAACGAAACGGCTAGTTCCCGGACGCCTTCACGATTTTGCCGTGAGGGTTAGGGACACGAAGGGAGACTCGAACTCGATGCAAGCCACTATTTCTGTTACGAACGCGACCACCCCTCGTGATAAAATATTCCCCCACATACCTTCCCTCATTATGGTGCCCGAGGTAATTATTTATTCAGATAGAGACAACGATTAACGGGACCATTTAGCCTATCTACTATTCTGTCACAACAATTTTCTCTAAACGAATTATCATTCACGACTGTAAGAAGAAAAAACGTTTCAGAAATTTTATTCGTAACTTTGCTTTTCAACCCTTCAGGATACCAAGCCGGGCAAAGAGTTAGATTATCTTCTGGTGAGAGCCAATTCTCGAAGCGGGAAACCTGTTTATATCGAACTCTGGGTAAGTTATGTAGACATTTATATAAATAGTAATATTTATTTTTCGACAATTTCGATATGTGTATATTATAATTTATCGTTATCTTTGTAGCAACCGAAAGAACTTTTTACCATAAGGCAGCGGCAAACGCCCATCCAAACACGAGGGGTAATTATACTAACCGGAGAATTGGATTTCGAGACGCAATCAATGTACACCCTCACCATGTATGCCACGGTATGCCACCGATTCAAATGAATAATCGCAATTACTTCTTAATAGGATAAAATTGGAAACAAAGTGTTTCCGTTTATTTAGGACCCGTACACGGAACAGGGGAAAGATACGAGAAATATCGCGGGTCTAAGCGTCGTTGTGATAGTTCAAGACGTACAAGATGTTCCTCCAATTTTCACCTTGGCACCTCCCCTCACGAGGATTAACAATTCCATACAACCTGTGAGAATTGCCATTTGTCTTTTAATTTGCAAATTTATATATATAGAATATTTGCTCGGATGGTGTTAATAAATTATCAAACGTGTGAAATTGTCACGAATTATTTTTGTCGCAAAAGGGAGTAAAGAACGTTTGATTTTTAGGGTGATATAGTGGTGCGAGTGCATGCAGAAGACGGGGATAAAGGGGTGCCGCGTGAAATCGTGTACGGTCTCGTGTCCGAGGGCAATCCTTTTACACCGTTTTTTAACATCTCGGAGACAAGTGGTAAGAACAATTGCATTTAAAATCATGAAACAGCACGCCGATTCTAATATTTCGTTCGATGGTAATGAAAATGGTTAAAAAAAAGGGAAGAAAAGAAACGTTAAAAAGCTGCCATCCATGGAATGTAAAATGGAGGAATACAAAAATGATTATCACGAGTGATTCATCTTCTGTCATAGTCGGCTGTCAACCCTTTATCGTAAACAACGATCATTGTCGTAACGCTGTCTTTCCTTTTTTCAACAATTTTTTTATATTAATTCAGATCACGAGAAAAAGAAACAAAAATTTAATTCAATTCAATATTTTTCCAAGAAAAAAAAATGTATTCGTTCATTACAACCTAAAGTATATACAATGCTCGAATAATAAAAGTACTCAAATTTCAGCTTTTATTAAATTCTTACTTAAGGTATTCGTACTTAACCTGTTTAAGCTCGAGCGAAAATTTGATTACCTCGAATAACCGAGCAAAAGTCACAATGATTTGCAGGGGTGTTATTACGTTTACCATCCGTGCTATCGGTGGACGAATGATTCACGGGTACGCTCATACATAAATCCCGGGATGACCTGATTTCCCCAAGAATTATCCACTCTGATGAGTAGGGTCTCGAATTAATCTACCTGCTACTTCGATCCTACGCCTCCTAGCGTTAAAGCGTGAGGGAATGATTCATTCCCGGCCCGGTACAGTCGATACCGCAAAGGGACGATCACATATGCAATCACATCTTGGTGAAAAATAAATGAAACCGCGCAAAGAAATTCCATTACTGAAGAAAGCTATACCACTGACCGATATTAAGAATCTTTGCTTCTGAGGGAAAAATTTAAAGGGGAAAAAAAATTTCATTTTACGAAGAAAAATACGAGTAATCGTAAAATAAGGATCGGCAGCTTCTTCCGGTTTCAAAAGATAAAAATCCTGCGTCTTGTGCGTCTTTTCGAAAATGAACACGTTTTTCATCACGTTGGGGATAAGGCCGCTGTAAAAGGCCGTGAAACGACGGGGCGACTTTATACGCTCGTTTCCAAGATGATTACAACCTCGCACGAACGTGATAATCTAATGTCTGAGGAGATCGATGATACGGATTTTTTTTTTTTCACCAAAAATGAGCGGGGGGCGAGGTTGGTGGGCAGAACTGGATGGAAGTGGTCAGGGAGAGGAAAGTCTTGACGCGGTCTACAACGCGGTATCGATCGTACTTAGGGGTCAGTCTCTGCTTTTCAGGCTACGATGCTTATCATTTCGTGACACGAAGCATGCGACCTCTTCGTGTACACGTGTAATGGACGTTGTGTAGGGAGAAAGGGAGCGAAAAAAGAAAGAGGACAGGACGAAAAAGAGTATGGAAGATAAAGGGGTATGTTCTGCTCTCCTTGAAGAAAGAAAGAACAGGCGGGTTAATAATTTTTACGCAATAATAAATGCGGAATAAATGAACGAGATAATTTTTAAGTATTTGATCGATCGGTTGAAAGATACGCGTCCATTTCTAAAATAATATTTTAAACGCGAAGCTTGAAAAATATACGTGAATAGTTGGTGTTTTATTAAAGTTTGAATAATGTATGTATGATGGAAACGTACGTATATTTAATTTTTCTAAGCTTCGTTCCATGATACGTTATGGAAAATTTTTATCACTGGACACGCGTGTTTTACGTATCGTGCATAAGTGAAAAACAGGATCATTGACCGAAATTCATTTTATCCATTTAATTTATAACGAACACGTAATTGGTAATTGATCTATCGTTTCAAAGTACGAACAAAATTTTGAATATGAGTGTAAATAAAATTTACAGAAAATTTGTGTCGTCACGATTATTTTTACAGAGGCGACAACAATGACTTTTAAATATAGAATTTCAAACTGGTCGCGTGGAGATTTTTTAAACTTTATTTGGATTAAGCCTTAATTGCAAATATTTAATTGACAGGTGAAATCACTCTTGCCAGACCTTTGGAGGAGCTCACGCAAATCACGCACGTCGGAGCTCCGGTTGTACTTACGGTGGTTGCTGAAGAGATAAGAAGGAACAGGGACGAGCCACCGGCCCAAGCGACAGTTGTCGATGTTGGTTCCTTCTTGGGGAACCGGGAAACAGTCCACCGTACTTCGAGAGTGATAAGTTGGTACCTGAGACGTGAATTATTATCCAAGTATTAACAACATTATTTCTAAATAAATCGCGTAAATTTATTTATCAATTCCTTCGAATATCGAATATAAATTTGAGCTCGAATTGTCGAAGTTAAAGCAAGTCTTTTTCGCTCTATCCCATAGTTACATCGCCACGATAGACGAGAATCCTGAGCCGGGGACCGTGATAAACTTTGGTGAACAGTATTCGTGCAGAGTGAAGGATGAGGATATCGGGAAGGCTGGAGTGTTCACGTTAAAATTGGAGAATAACAATAACACCTTCGAAATAAATCCAACAGTTGCAGAACGTGCTGCGGATTTTGTTATAACCGTTCGAGATAATACGCTGATTGATTACGAATTGTACAAATCTTTATCTTTCAAGGTATAAATATAATATATTTTTATTGCGCATTATTAAATTAATTATAATACCAAACTTTGATTCGAAGATCGTTGCTCAAGAAGTTGGTCCGGCGACGAATCTGTCGGCACTAGTACCAGTCGCTATATTTCTAAGGGACGTTAACGACAATTCACCGATATTCGATGAGGAATCATACGAAGTGACGTTGTCCGAAAACGTGACCGAAGGTTCGCGCGTGACACAGGTTGTTTTTTTTTTTTTTCATAACTTCGACTTGTGCGCTTCAATATGATAATCTAATTCGTTTTTTTTTTTCTTATTAGGTGCACGCAACCGATAAAGACACAGGTATCTATGGAAATATTCGATACACCGATATAAGAGGAGAGGGAAGCGAAGCTTTCACTATGGATCCAGACACGGGATCGATAACCGTCAGCATGGGCTCTACTTTGGATCGAGAGATCGCAGCAAGATTCGTGTTAACCGTGGAAGCACGAGACGAGAACGGAAATGGGAACAGAGGCGTTGTTCCTTTAATAGTTAATTTATTAGATGTCAATGACAATGCACCGATATTCGAAAAGGACGTTTACGAGTTCGCGTTGAACTCTGATCTCACCAACTTTACATTGCCAGCTTTTATAAAGGTATAATTTTCACGATTTAAGATTATTTTTTTTTTTTTTAATCGATGGTCGAAATATTGACAGGCTATCGATGCCGATTCAGAGCCGCCCAATAATGTGGTCAGATACGAGATAATTCATGGAAACTACGAGAACAAATTCTATTTGAACGAAACGAGCGGCGAATTAACACTTTTGTCGCCAATTACGAAAATCAGGCGAAAGAAGCAGAGCGCTTATGATAGATTCTCGAAGAAAATGGGTACGAAATTTGTGAAAGATCGAGAGGATCACAAAAACGAATTATCGATGAACAATCAAAACGGGATTAACTTGGGAAATTTAACTAAGGAAATGATGATGGAGGTGGTAAAGAAGCGACGAAAACGAGCCAACGATGACCCATTATACACTCTTACTGCCAGAGCATACGATTTAGGTAAATTTTGAAAAAATTCTTCTCCCTCTACTTTCGTAAAATACATCGAAAAGTATCGAAAAAGAAACATGATTAATCGATTGCACATCGATTGCAGGTGTACCGCATCTTTCGAGCGAAACGAAAATTCGAATATTGAGTGGTGCCGCTATGGAAGCGCGGATAATGATGTTCGTAGTGCCGGGAGAACAACCTGATTCAACGAAAACTGCCGAAACATTAGCTGCTATCACAGGTGGCCGAGTCACCGTTCTAGAAACTCGCCCTTACATTCAACAGAATCATACAGGGGGTACAGGGACTCTTCCTGGAGGAGGAGGAGGAGGAGGGAAAAAGTCAGTGAAGAGTAAACGTTTGCTTGATTATTTGTCACAAGTTGGAAATCAACTTTGAAAGAACTTAAGGATATTCTTGTTCAGGAGTATTATCATAGCTCGAGTTGAACAAACGGAGCCGGGTACATCATTGGTAGATGTAGAGAAGATTCGAGAAACTTTGGCTGCCAATGGGGTTGGAATTATCGGGGGTACCGATGCAATTATGAACGCAACGAACATGGACAATACAAAAGTTCCCCTTGATGGAACGCCTAAACATACCACTGCTAACGATGGCCAAGCAACTGCTATCAATAATACGATTATCACTACTCAAAACGAAGAAGTGGTGTGTATAATATACATATGTATGATAAAAAATTAAAGCTGAATTAATTATATGCTATAATTAGAGAAATTATAATATATTCCAATTAAGAGTGTTTTAAAAAAAGGTAATTTTTTCCAGACTGTTTACAAAGCAGAAAACAAATTGTTATTCTGGCTTCTGATAATTCTCGGTCTGCTCATGCTCTTGGCCGTCGCCATATTGATTGCTTGCTGCATATGTCCCGGATGCCCGTTTTACATGGCGCCCAGAAAAAGGCGAGTACATTCGTCGGAAACGTTGGTCGTACGTGCAGACGGAAGACCGAAGAGGCATCTTCATCGACAACCTGCAATACCTATCGAAGGTAAATCTTATTTTATCCGTAATTGTGTCTGAAACTCGCGTGATTTCACGTGAATCTTCGTTCACACTTCAGTATCGTGGAATGGGAGGAAACAAGCGTGGAGCGCGGATCCAACGAGAAGAAATTGGCAATTTAACAAAAGAAACGTGAAAAACTGTTCCCTTCCTGGGGATGTTGCCTATATTTCCGGCCAGCCGAACGACATTCACACGAAGCTCGTCGAAGTTGAAAGATTAAGGGACGGGGGGGGACGTTCTTACGATCACACGAGGAGAAGCAGGATGAACGAGCAAGAAAGAATGTACATGGAGGATATCGAAGATCAAAAGGCAAGAGGTTACCGCACTGCCGAATTGGAATCTCTGCAACGGCACGAAATGGACAGAGGTTCGGATCTGCAACAGGCTTATAGGCAAAGGTAAGCAGTCTCATCCCGTCAATCATCTCATCAACCGTCGAATTTGTTCCATCTTTTCAAAAACGATTCAAGTAAATTTAAAAGACGAGACTTCATCGTGACAGATGGTATTCCAGATTCGTGGAGCACGACACGAACGAAGAAACGACGGTGAGAGAGCAACACTTCTTCCGCGAAGGAAACGCGGAAGTCCTTCGATTAGTAACACGTGGGCAAGTAGAAGACACAACGTCCCATCATCCTCACCGTCCAACTTTAATCATAGATGGTAAGGATATAATTCTGCAAAGGTTCATAGAGGACCAGAAGTCAAGGCACGAGTTGTCGATGCAGGACATCGAGGCAGCTCGTAGCATGGAATCCCATCAACGATCCAAAGAGGTTTGCCACCAGCAACCGGAGATAATCTTGATACCGGACAGGTTGGAGCTAGGCCACAGGCAACACGTGGAAGAGATCGGGCCCAACGTTCAGAGGCTCGTGATCGATCACGGTGATTACGATCCCTCACAAAAGGAAAAGGAGACTCGTACGAGGGAAACGATTAGGCAAGAGAAGCAAGAGATCGCCGAGAGGGCGACGATCGTCACCAAGGATCACGCGCGATCGAGCAACACCCAGTATCCCTTCCACGATTTGGAATTGGCCAGGCAAAACGTTTTGTTGACACGGTTATTGTTGGAGAAGGAGAATCGCAGAGCGGGCGCGGGTGCGATGGACTCTACGAGCTATTTAGAGACGCAGAGTCTGCCTGGGCAGGTGGCGATAGCTACTCAAACGGATAGGACGGCTGCCACTCAGACGGATCGTCACGTGAAGAGCAGAAGCGACAACGACGAGTCGGACAACGAGGAGTCGAGATACAGGAAGAAGTTGAAATCTAGGAAGAAATATGGGGGGGATGGGGATTGGAGACGGTCGAGGACTCTGTGGATGAAGTCGCCGATCGAGGAAGAGGGGAGCCCTTGCTTCGACAAACGATTGAGCATTCTGAGGAAGAAGGTGAGAGAGGTGAAGGAAGGCAGGAAGATTTCTCTGGAGCCGGAAGTGTTGAGAGAGATCTCGGATTCTTTGGATGGGAATGGAAGTTCGTGCAAAGGCGAGGAAGACGAAACGATGAGGAGTTATAGAAAATCAACGGAGCAAACGAGTATCAGTTACAAAATATTGAACGAGAAGGAGACCGATCTATCCCGATCTTCCGAGGAGAAGAGGAAAGAGAAGCGGCAAGAGAAAAGTAGCGAGGAGGTGACGGACGATCAGAAGGTGAACGCCACGGAATCGTCCTCGCCAGAGATAAAAGTTCAACGCGAGAAACCGAAGGAGAAAAGTCCTAAAAGGGAAACGAGATCGAAGAAGTCGGAAGGCGTGATAAAGCCAAGTTTCAGGATTCTCGAGAAAGAATTTACGATGCTCACGAAGAAACTGAGCAAGTTGGGGGACAAGAAATTCCAGGAGAGCACTGCCAGTGACAGCACGAGCCAAGAAAAGTCGGACTCCCTTGCTAAGGACGCGAAAAAGGACTTGGATCAAAAAAGTTTGAAAAAAACGGACCCTTCAACTTCGCAGAAGCACGAAACGACGTGCGCGTCAAAACTGGAACAGAAAGGAAAACAGAGAAAAGATTCGGCCATAGCCAAGACGAAACAAAAGTTGAAGTATCAACAGAGTCAAGTCATGAGTACAGGCAGTTCGGAACTCGACGATTCGCTTGGGTTCGACAAGCCGAAGAAGCCGAGTGGGACGCGGCATGAAACCACGAAGCAGAAACAACCCGTTGGTATCCAAGGCCATGCAAAAGTGAAACGATTGGTACAGATGGATCGACGAGAATCGAAAAAGCAAGCGTCTGAATCGAAGGATGAAGAAACGGAGAAACGAAAAGATGGAGTATCGAAAGGAGTTTCGAAAGGTGAATTAAAATCCGAGAAGATTGGAAAAATGGCGGCAAAGGCGCCGAAATTAAGTGTTCTGTCCCGTAAACAAAACGTAGTCGAGGAAACCAGTACCAGCACGGAAGAGAAAAGGGAGGAGGAAAGGGGTACGTTTACTTTTGAAAAAAAGAGCAGTACGGATTTCTCAGAGAGAGATTCGAACGGTTTGTTCCAGCCTGAAAGGGAGAGGCTGGAGAAAAAAATAATTCAAAAATTTAGCGATGATTTTGTTGAAAGGGAAGATACCAGTGAACAGAAAGTAACTACTTCTACGGAAGAAGAGAAAGATACAGCGAGCACGGAGGAACGGAAAGTTAGTATGATAGGATCGTCGAAAAATGGGATACGTAAGAGTCAAGATCAACAGGAAGAACGCGTTAGTTCAAAGAAAGCGTTAGATGATCATTCGGCTCATTTGCATACCAAGGAACAATTAATTACAGATATTAAGTTCATTGATATGGGTCCAACTAGAAAAGAAGAATTAGGGAAAATTATCGTACGAGATCAGAAAGTTGATAAAATGGCATCTAAAGTAGAACCCACGAAAATCCAAAAACCAATGAAACGAGAGGATAAAAGTATAAAATATAGTGACGAGGATAGAATAAAGGAAACTATACGTGTGGATGAATTAGTGAGTAAAAGTGAAAAAGAAATAATCGAACGGGTTCGAGATAAATTAGAGGATTACATGGAGAAGGATAAACCACTGAATGATTTTAAAAAACAAATTGAAACTAAACTTGATAGTAGGATAGAAGAAGGGAGACAAGAAGACAGAGAATTAAGTGACACGTATAAATATTTAAAAGAAGAAATAGAGAAAATGTCAGAAGATTTCAAGAAGAAACGCGAAGAGTCTAAGAAAACAGAATCAGAATCAGAAGAAGAAGAAGAAGAAGAAGAGAATATATTATCAAGATATGTGCACGATATCGAGGATAAAAATGGCGCAAAACAGAAGGCAGAAAAAAGGATACAAGTAGAAGTACACGTGCCTATAGAAAAAGAGAACAATGGCAAAATGGACGCGACGCAAAAAATGGAAAAGGATATAAAATCTGAAGTTTTAAGCAAAGAAAAAGATAGTATGAAATTTGATATTACAGATGTACATACTGATAAATTAGAGGAGGAAAAACAAGTAAAACTCGTGGGTATTTCAACGACAGATCACATTTTTGAAAAAGAAGATTCGACAAAAATTGCATTCAATGATGATGATAAAGAAAAAATTAGCTCAAGTGTGGAGATTCCTCATAAAGAAAAAACTACATCAACGATAGAAACTGATAAACAAATAGAAGAAAATATTTTTTTAGATGATCGAGAAAAGCGTGATAAAGAAAAAGAAGACGTTAAAATTAAATCTGATAATGGAGTCATAGAAAGTACTATTATAAGTAGTGAAGATAAGAAAATTAGCGACAAAGAAAAATTTACTATAAAAAGTACAGGAGAAGATTATGGAAAAACAATGGAAGACTATAAAATTACTGAAGAAATAAGTCAGGATAAAAAAATTATTGAAGAAACGATCAAAGATCAAAAATTAGATGCAGAAACAATTGCGGATTATAAAGTAACTGAGGAAACGGCAAAGGATCAAAAAATTGATAAGGAGGAAACGAAGGATCATAAATTCGATGGAGAAACAAGTATGGACTATAAAATTATTGAAGAAAAAACCGAGGATTCAAAAATTGATGAAAAACAAGCAAGTTCGGATCGCATATTAACTATGGAAAAAATTAAAGATCAAGAAGAGGATTATAAAATCGTCGGAGAAACAAGTATGGATCACAAAATAATTGAAGAAGAAATTAAAGATGAAATAATTGATAAAGAATCAATAGAAAAACATAAAATTGCTGAAGAAGCAATTGTAAAAATTATTGAAGAAATACCAAAAGATCAAAAAATTAAAGATGATACAATAAAGGGTGATACTGAAAAAGCAACTGTGAACCGTATTGAAGAAACATCTAAGGATCAAGAGATTAAAGAAATTTCAGAGGATTACAGAATTGCTGAAAAAACAACTGAGGATTTTAAAATAACTGAGAAAGTAACTACAGATCATAAAATGGAAGAAAAAGTAAAAAAGGATTACACAATAGTTGGAGAAAGATTTGACGATGATAAATCTTTGATAAGAACTGATTTTACTATCAAGGAAAAAATATCTGATAAAAAACAAGATTCAACAGAAATTAGTAGAGAAGAAAATATTTTCTTAGATAAAAAAAAAGATTCTGATGAAAAGACATTTGCTAAAAAAATTGATACAGATGATCACGAAATCAGTACAAAAAAGGTTTTGGATACTGAAGAAGAAATTGACAGTCAAAAGAAAAAAAGTATTTCTCCCGAAATAAAAGAAACTCTTCCTGTAGCAGAAGCTGTGACAGAACTAATTAAAAGTGACGATGAAAAAATTAGTGATAAAAAAGATATTTTTATTGGCAAAGAAAAAGAAATTGAAGAAAAAAAAGAAATTCCAAAAAGTGATAAAATTGAAAAAGAAAGTATTATCGATGATAAAGACAAGGAAGAAGATTCTAATAAAAAAAAAAAATAACTACAGAAACTGAAGAAACTGATGGACCATTTAAAGAAACAATTAAAGAAATGCAAATAATAGACGATCACAAAATTATCGAAAAAGAAATTTTAGAAACAAAAGAAATCATCGATGATCATCGAATTAGTGACAAAGAAATTATTCCAGCAACATTAGAAATTGAAGAAATACCTATTGTTGAAAAACAGGATGATATCCAAGAACACCGCATTGAAAAAGAAGATGTACCTCTGAGAATATCTCACGTTGATAAAGATGACAAGATTAAAGAAAAAGAAGATTCGTCAAAAATTTCACCCACTCGGGAAATTTCAATGGAAATTCCTATCTCTTCAATCGATGATAACATAAAACAAGGAACAGACACAGAACGGACAACCGAAGATCACACCAGTAAAAAGGATAATGTTTTCTCAGAAATGTTTAAAGTTGTCCATTCGTTGGTCGATAAATTGACGAACGGCAAAAGATCAAGAAAAACGAGCATAGAAGAAGTTGCAATCACTGAATTTCCAGATGATAAAATTATTCAAAAAGAAGTACCATTGTTACCTCCTGCCGATGACAAGGAGAAATATCAAGAAGAAAGTTCGATTACCAGTGAACCATCCGTTTCTCAAGTGAATAGTGATTCGATAAAATTAATAGAAGAGCAAATGGACGATGAGCAAATCGCATCAAAAGACAAACCTCTCGATTCCACAGATGACAAAGTAGTTACCAGTCCAGAAGAAACGACATACAAGAGCGTGCAAATTGATATCGCGTCAAAATCAAAGAAACCTCTCGAAAAAGTAGAAATTGATAAACCTTTAAAAGACGATTCAGCATCATCGATACAATCAGCGGACGAAAAAATAAAGGATAGCAAAGGCATCATCAAAATAAGCGAGGAATCGAAAGAAGCGATTCCAGATAATGAAAGGATGGATGTGAAACCAGTACGAATTATCGAGGAGGAGTTTCACGAACCAACGTCGAGTAAAGCGAGCGCTAGTTTTCAGGAGATCGAATCGCTTCTTCGAAGTTCTTCACAGACGACGACACAGGGAAAGGAAAAGTTAATCTCCGACTCGATTATATCCGAAACTTCAACAGATTCCGCGAAAACATTGGAATTTGAAAAGCAATTGAAGTCAGAAAGCAAACAGATTGAATTACACGAAATGGAACAATTTGTCGAGGGAGAAAGTTTCATCGCGGGAGGCGAAATTCAGAGGGAGACAACATGGTTCCCCGAGGGAGGATCGCAGAGCCCGGAATCTGATGTGCACACGATTGTTTACAGGGACGAATCGGATAAGCAAGAAGATCTAACTAACGGGAAAATGGATAAAACTTGGAAGAAACGCGTAGAGGATAGAGAGGGGATACCTGTTGAAGAAGAATACGTAAGCCTTCCACTTTTTACCAGCATAATAGATACGATGGATGATTCCGAGGACAGTGATTCATCGAGCGATATTTCCAGGAAGACAACGTTAACCACCAGACCGTATCAAACGCCGCGACATCGTGCTCGACTCGAGGTTTCCGAGAGAGAGAGCAGTCAAACGGAGGAAGTAACTGAAACGGGAAGTATCGGGGATGAGGAACAAGCGATATTAGCTATCGAGGTGATAGGGAATGGAAACGTGGACTCTCCGAAAGAGGAAAGGATGCTTGAAAAAGTTGAAGACGCGGGTATGGAACGAGCTCCTTCGACGAGATCAACCGAGAAAGGTGAACAAACTGGATCGAGGGAAGAATTTATAAATGTACAACCGTGTTTAAGTGGAGAAAAGTTAACGACAAAGAGCGACACGGAGATAGAGAAAGAGTCTTCAACGAAAGATACGGAGGATAGAAAATCTGAAACGAAAACGGATGGAAAAATTGAAGGCGAACCGTCGTCGGTCTCCAAACTTGCAAAAACTGATACTTTCAAAGTTTCAACCGATAAAAAGGAACAAGAGAGGAAAAAAATAGCCCCGCGAAGGAAGAAAAAAAGTTGGTCGGAGGAATCTCCGGGCGAAGAGAGGCCGACGCATTCTCACGATGCGGCGAGTGGGCATCGCGCGCGAGGGAAGCTATTGGACGATCGATCGAGGCAAAAGGATAGCGATAAAACGAAACAATCGAGAAGACGGGAGGAAGAATCACAGAAGCAGAGGCAATTCACATCGAGATTGAAGATCGAGAAGGATAAGAAATCATCGAGCGGTAGCGAGAAATATGCAACCCCGTCGAAAAGCGGGGAGATCGATACGAGTAAAACGCAGCCAAAATATATGGCGTGGTACAAAAAGAATCGAGAGGAAATGGAAAAGAGGAGAGCCGAATTAATGGCCACGGATGACGAGGAGCAGCTTCCACGATGGTTACGAAGAAGCATGAGAAGCCAGAGAGCCGAGAGGGAGGATAAAAAGCAGTCGAGTCAGAAAACCGCTGACACGACTCCGCGGACGAGACGCAAAGTTAAACCTTTGGTAAACGTTGAATCCGAACAATTGAAGGCCATTGTTCGCCAAGGTAGAAAATTAAGGAGAGCCGAAGGAGGGAAGAACGAGGATCCACCGGTACAGATATTCGCCACGACTCCGCCCCACGATACCAAGCATCATTTGATGCAACATTCTGAATATAAATACGAAAAAACGCCCGCGCCGTTTTACCTTCATCCCCCTCCTGCCCCTCATCCTTCGCCCCAATTATCGCCGGAACATTTCGAAATTCCGCCAACGATGGAACGCGAACGTACGGATGAAGAATTCGATTCCGGGATACAGGTGTCGTTACAGGCTGGAAATAGGCGACACCAACAATTATTGGAAAAGAAGAGTGTGTTCGATATCGCGTATAGCGAAGCGGCACCCTCTCAATTACGTTCAGACAGTACCACACCTCCGTCCTAAGGTAATAGCATTAGAATCGTTTTGTTTTGTGGAAGAATCTCCGTTGTTCGATTTTTTAATTACAGAGGACGTATAATATTGTTGAATATCTTTTTATGTTTTATATGGGTATATATAAACGATGAATTAATGAGTTGAAACGAGAACGTGCTGAATGATAGCCTCGATCCATGAATTTTTAAATGTTACGTTTTTAAAAAAGAAACAACGCAAACAGATTAAATCGAAAAGAAGAATTAAATTACGCACAAAATGCAGGGTTAATTATAAAATAGAATTTCAAAAATTGTTGTGGAAAAAAATTATAGGGACGTGACGTTTTAGGATTTGTTAGAGAATAAGTATGAATAACTTTCTTATGAAATCGTTTCAGAAATAAATATCATTCGTACAATTCATTACTTTAAAAACCATTTTGTTAATGTTATTTATTGCCGTCCGATGAAAAAATAGCACATCGATTCGATGACCAATTTTATATTACGATTGTTATCCCAATATTCCAATGTTTATAATTATCTTGTAAATAAATACGTATACATAAAATGTGTCATTTTTATTCGTATATTTTATTCAATGTACCAAAAATTCCCTTATGAAAGAAATACTAAGTTTATAAAAAATTATTTACTCTTTAAATTTTATTAAAAATTAATCAATTATTCAAACTAACTGTTCGAATTATATTAATATTCATTTATCTTAACAGTAATATTTTTGTTTATTATTCGAGCTATATATAAATTTATCTTTCACCTTGCCAATTTACGTAACATTCCACAATTAAAAATAAATGATAATTATATCATGTTTATGACAACAGATTCGAGACGAACTTCTCATCGCTCCTGTTATACTGTTACAAAAATATCCTTGGTTCCGACTTTACTGTTGGTCAAGTTTATCCGCATACGATATGCATCGGATATGAAAGATAAAAATTTATCATCATGGATTAAATTACGTATAATAAAATGAATAATTTCTGTTATTTTTAATACTATCAATTATAAATTTGACATTTTATTTATTTTAGAACTGAAAATATTTTATATAAAAATACTATTAACCCGTATTATGCATGAAAAACTATAAATAAATTCTACGTTATAAACGGAAGAATATCAATAAAAATAATTTATTTCTTATCTTTATTATCGCGTCATTCGTTTTCAAATAATTAAAAAAATAATTAAAATTTTTATTTCTACGTATTCTATTCTTCTACGTATTTCAAAATATAATAAAATATAAATTTATATCACCAGAGTAAACAAGAGGCGTTTTAGCAACTATGGAGGAAGATCTAAGTATATGTATCACGCATACGTACGAACAGAGAATGCTAAGAATATATGCTGCGATAGACCGTGATGATAAAGCGCGTGAGTGACGCCATTGGCAACATACGCAACTCAGTATGCAACTTGTCAAACTAATATACATAATTGCAAATTTCGTGACGTGTTTTGACGAGAATTGTGACGTATCCGATGCAACTAACCTACCGTAATCGAGAAAATAATGGTGCATCGGACATAACCGGAGACTGGTAAATTTTAGGATTGGGAAAGTAGAAAAGATGTGTTGGTCGATCGACCGGTGCATAATAAATACTTTCGCAAGCGGCAAAGTATGATGGTAAAAACGATTCCAATGGAATAGGTATATTTTTAATGGAATTTAAAAAGACAATAAAAAAAATTAAAAATAATTTTAATTTCAAAGTTATAAAAAGATATTAATTTAAAATATTATATTTACTTATTCAGTTTTTTATTCGAAGAAAATATTTTATTTTTGATTCAATATTGAAAATATACCTTGTAAATAAAATAAAAAATAACATATTTTATGTTTAATGATATGAAAAATAATAAATAATGAAATTGTAAAAATAATCTTTTAAAAACAATTCGTTTTTCATCCGATATCAATATTGTTCATTTGCATACATGTGTTACTTAACTAGAAAATAGAAAAATACTAGGTATTATGGATGTTCTCCTATTATCTAGAAACCATAGTGAGCCAGCTGCTTGTATTATCTACAATAACTTCATTTAAACGAATAAGTAACAATTGTGAAGAATTTTTATAAAAAGAAAATCAGAGAAAACTAAAACCAGAAATAACGTGTAAATTAATAAATGATTCACTTCGATAAGTCGAGACATTTTTAAAATATTAAATATTCTTTTGAAAATTGAAAAAATTTAAAATATTATTTATGTTACAAAAATATAAACATAAATATAATATAATAAATAAATTGTTATTACAACCTTAATTAATAACGATACTCCAATATTGCTAATGGAGTATTCCTCAAGGAAGAAAAAAATTATTTTATATTCGTACTGATAATAAAATTTATATTTTATAATATAAATAAATAAATTTAAATATTTAAAATATATTGTAATGCATTAATTACGCGAAATTGTATAATAATATATAAATAAATTACCTCTTTAATAAATTATCTCTCACTGCGTGCATATGAAATAAATTAATAAAATAATTTATCATTTAACAACATGTAAAATAATAAAGAACGCGAAAAGCGTGCATGTAACCTGGGTCTATACAGCGTTTACAACGTGATCTACTTCATTTTGCAACTTACATTTCGTTGAAAATTTAATAACAATAAATAATCATTGATTTAGGCCTACTGTTTTCAGAAGCCTCCTCGATATAACATCGCGATGCTCTCCCTAATATCATCCGAGTTGGCGCCGAATTAATATATCAATTAGGGCGGAAAGTAGCAGCCTTTAAACAATGGATAAATGTTAATTGTTGTTAATAAAGAACACACATGTTGCTGATGCAACGGCGAACAGAGCCGTAGAAGAGGCTGCACCTGTAACACCAGTACACGAAACGCAAACACACCTGGAACCTTTGACCTTTTCATCGACGCTCGGCCCTACCTCTCTCCCCTCGACCACCCTTACCCTTCCCTTCGCTAGCTGCAGTTCGATGAAAATGTTGCACTGTGCGCGATGGTCGATCGTACAAATCAGGTTTTACCTCTTACACCCTGGAAGAACTAGGAAATCGAGAAAGCTAGTCGTCTTGCAACCCTGATTTCGATGGTCGTCCATTCGTTCGATTCGATCTTTTCTATTTTTTTCTAGAAGAGATGCAATTGCTTCAAGGAACGTCATTATAAATCGAACAAATTTATTAAAAATAAATTTTTTATTTCATCAATCATCTCCTTAACTAATGATATGAATATTTCGTTGGCAAAAGCATAATTTTTATATTCGTAAAAATATAATGAAAAATTTTTTAAAAAATATATATATATATATGTAAAAATTTGTGAAGACTCTCCAATTATTATAATTGTTATTCAAATTGATTATTCTACTGTGAGACAATCACTGCAAAAAAAATCTATTTAATCTACTTCCTCTACAACATATCATAACAATAAAATATAAAAATAAAATACATAGAATTACAAAAATTACAGATAATGGTATGGAAGTATTTAAATTTTGTGTTAAATTAATTGCGATAAAAAATTAACGTTCCTAGAAAAAAAATCAGAATTACGATAACCCAAGGATCCAAGAGCGCTAGAGACACCTTTGCTCTCATATATAGTACGCACACATGAAAATCCAAGCTGATGCTAAAGAAGCCACGTTGCACGAATACGTTGGCATCGTGGTACGGGCGGGTTGAGATTGGCCCGGACATCAATAGCCATCAATCATCTGAAAATTTCGGCAACGCGGTGGACAACACGAGCGGCAGGATACCATCATCACAGTAGAGTTCTTCGGGACCACGAAGCGGGGATAAGAGGAGGTGAGAGGCAAGGGAGGAGGGACCAGGCGAAACGTTCGATACCGCCGAAAACGTGGGCCAACTTCATGTTGTACCTCCATGAATTCGGTTACTAACGTCTATAATGCTTCGTGTAGTATACTATGCTGTGATATCTGGACTCATAGGTATGCGTGAACGTATGATAAACGTGGAAATGTATGGACACGAAGGTGCGTGAGGAACGAAGAAGAAAAAGTAATATGTTCTTAAATGTAAAAGAGAAACGAATAATCTGTATTAAAAATGGAACGTGATTCAGAAAATGTAAAATATTTTTCTTATTATATTAATAAATTAAAAATCATTTAAAATTTGTTTTTCTTAAAATGTATATGTATACTTCTCGATATTAGAGATATTTATAGATATCTCTAATAGACAATTGTGTATTCACGTTAAAATAGACAGATAAATAAACGAAATACAAAAATATACGTCTGTAAGTATTTCAATCATTAGTTTCGTTACGATAATTTCTTTTTATAATGAATAAACAAATACGTGGTATATTTTAGAATTTCTGCTAATAAATATTTTGATCTTTTTAAGACAAGATAATTAAATAAATTTATTTGTTTATTATATGTTCAAAGAAAAAGAATAAAAACGTAAAAAGCTTGAAAATGGAAAATATTTAATATTTCATAGATGAACTATGCACGTAATCAAGAAAAATTTACTTTTATTTTATCGATGAGTTTGATAATTAATAAAAAACGAAATAAATATTGTAAAATAAGTTAAATTTAAAGCGAACATTAGATGTATTTATAACGTAAGTGCCGCCATTGATACGCATTTCAATAGTTCAAGAGTAAAGATCTACTCGCATTCATGATATCCTCGTATAAAAGCAAGTGTCCGCAGATGACTCGCGCAGTTGGCGCGCATGTGAACACGAATTACATTACATGTGAAGACAACATGACACAACATTTAATATGGATGCGCCATTTTCACGCAATAATACTGCTGTGTATTAAAATGAAGTGAAATAATATATATTTGTTGCATAATTGGATAATAACTAATGAAAAAAAGTATTTGTTACAAGTATTTATTTATATAATAACGTCGTTCTTTTTGTTTGGTTCATTTTCAAGTTAATCATGCTCTTTTACTAAAAAATTTTTAATAAATAATTATTTAATTGCTTATAACACGTATGATTTCTAGTTTTAATTTTGTGCTAATATTTATCTTAGAAAAATTTTTTTGCTTCTATTATAAATTTAGAGTGCCAATTTGAAACATAAAAAATCAAAGATATTTTATTATGTAATCCAAAAAAAATTAATTTACACGATGTAAAATATGTATGTATTGATTTTAACTCTAACTTATTCATTATTCATTATTAATTAAAAAATTTTAAAAAAAGATTGAAACTTTCTTTCTTTATATTTAACAATAGCTTATACTTGTATAAAAATAAATAATATAAGAGTTAATTAATAACTGACACGCATACTTTATATTCAATAAATATGATGCAATAGGCTATCAGTAATGCTAATAGTAGCGAGAGCACGAAGAGTGGGGAAATGAGAGGATTCCATCCGCCTACAACCGTATAAGGAGCCCGCGCATTTACTAGGCGAGCATGCGATACGAGTTGGTCGCGCTTACTCACTCGCTGTTCTGAACTCCTAGTACTACGGCCACGTGTTTTGTCG